CCGCTGCGGCCCATCCACGTACGGATAGAGGTCGAGGATTGGAGGCACCCCCGATCTCGGCTCACTTGAAAATTCCCAAGAAGCAGTCGAACGGACAGGCAGGCCTTATGTACCTTGATGCCATGAGCACGTACTGAACCGACCGATTGACTGACGAAGCATCCGAATGGCCGGCCGCACGACCATGCAGGCTGACAGTGGCCATCTCGAAATGCGATGGCAAGGTGGCGAGGCGAGGCGACGATGCGGTGAGACGAGCCGAGAAGGGAAAGAGGACAAAGGTCAAGCAAGATACGATCGGTCGAATCAACGCGATGCCCGACAGGAGGTCCGAGGGAGGGCTGATTCATGGTCCACACCGTCTCGTCAAAGGAGGGCACATACCGCTGGCCTCGGCCGGACCCAGCCGAAAGTCGTCGGCTCAACTACTCCGAAGGAGGCGCGAGCCAAACCAGAGGGGGGTCCCGGGACTCGACTCCGAGCCAGTTGCTCCGACTGCAAGGCGATGCCAGGCCTGGCCTTACACCTGGCAGGTCTTTAGATCGACGTATCTGTCCATCCGGCCACGGCCTGGCCGGCTTGATACGGTAGAGACCGTGCGTGTGCGTGCGTGCGTGCCCGCCTGCCCCCTTTCATGGAGACGGGATGCAAAAAAAAAGGGGGACGATGGGACACGCCCTCGGTCAGCCAGTCAGAAAGGACACCAGCCCGCTCCCCTCCTGTCCACGTCGATACCCATCGTCTTACCCTGGCCGGAGCAGGACGCAGCCAGAGCGGGAACGAAGATTGGCTGGCCGGATCGCATGCATGGCTGAACGGGAGCCAACCGTGCCGAAGTCGCGCCCTTGGCAGTGCGATGCCATGCCATGAAGCCGTCCGGGTCCCGTCCTGTCCCGTCGTCAGGTCAGGGTGCCGTGCTTGCCCCGGAGACCGGCAATCCACGCTGACCCCTTGCCTTGGTTGGTGCCCGAAACAGCATCAACCGCCCGGCTGCCGAGGGCCCCCTTGGTCGCGCTTGCGCAGACGGTCGAGACGACGACAACGCGGTCGACAGCCGACGCTGCGATGCCAGGCCTGCTGCGCACCCATTTCGAGCCAAGACAGCGGTCGGTGTCCTTGCCCTCGGATTGCTGCCCCCCCTCCAGCCGAAACCGCGACCCGCGAGGCAGGGGTGGACCCGGCTGTTTGACTCGCCACAGCGGTAGCGAGGGCTGCTCATGGGCGGCCCCTTTCTGCCCAGCCTAGCCGGTCGTGTTGCGTGGCCAACCAGTCCAGCGATCCGCTCGGCTGCCTCACCTCCTCCTACCCCTACCTTTGTCGTGCTTCGCTCCCTGCCTGATCTCGCCTGCCTCTCGGTCGAGCCTCCGTCCGGATCTGTAGGACGAGCTGGCACGCACGGTCAGCTCGGGCTTCAAGTGCGATGCAAGACCTTGTACCGAGCCGCGAGCCGAGCCGAGTCGACGCGGGGGGCGAGGCGAGCTGGAGCAGCTAGTGCTCGTCCGGGTCCCTGTGCCCCTCCTCGACCAGCAAGCCGCCTTTCGTCCAGTCTTTGCGCGCGCAGACTATGTACGATATACCATGGGCCGTTTTAGGTATCGCCGTGCCCTCGAGGTCTCGGGTCTGGCTCGGGCAGGGGCATGCACGGTTGACAATAACAATAAGAACGGTCAGCTTTCAACAGCGCTTTGGCAGCCGAGCGTGTCTCTCGGTCGACTTGCCCAGGATATGATGGTCGCTGGAAGAGAAGACGCGATCCTCCGAGCAGGGCAGGGCAGCTTGGCCTCGACATCGCTGCCAAGGAGCGGAGAGCAACCGATTGAAAAAGCGGAGCTGCCTTCCCATGTCTCGAGGCTCCTCCGTGGGTGCGGATCTCGGAGCGAAGGTGCGCCGACGGAGTTGATCGAGGTAGGTACGGTAACGTAGGCAACTCGAAGGAAGGAAGGAAGTGGGGCTGGGCGCTCAAGGGCGTTAGATTGCGAAGCATGTGATTGTCGTCGGCGACTTATGAGGCGCTGGACGGCTCCCTGCCTGCCGTGCCCCACTGGCCGAGTGCTAGTAAAGAGTGTTGAAGAGCTGTGCGGGCCGCAGACCGAGGTTCGGCTGCCCTTCCCATCGGCGACGGAGTGGAACAAGGTCCGGACCCTCCCAGCCTGGCTCGCGCCTGGCCAGCGATGGCGTGGATGCCACGTTCGGCTTCGGCGAAGGTGTCGGACAGATCGGCATGCCGCTGAGTTTGAGCAGGCATGTCACTACTGACTCCGATGCCTGCTGTCGGAATGCAACCCGGCGTGGAGAAGCTAACATCAGCGAGGGAGGAGTGAAGAGGAGGGAGGAGGGAAGGGGCGCGGCGGAGTTGGGCGTGGCAGCGGGAGCTCAAAAAACAAAGCTGCGCAGCTGCGGCTGCGTGCGTGGGTCGTCGTCGATGGGCGGCATGCTCCGGCGAATGCTGAGCTTTCCCAGACGGCGACTGCAACGGCGACGACGGCCGATGGCACGAATGGTACGATGGTACCGTATGTACCCACCCTAGCGCTGCAACCTTACCCACCGATAGGTAGACGCTTCTGGATCGCGCTGCCACCCAAGGACCTTTGATCTTGAGCCTCTCGACCCAGGCTTGGTCGATCGCAGCGATAGGAAGGGACACGAAGCAGGAACAAGGAAGGTGGTGCTGGCCGACGCTGCCCTACCTACCTCTTTGTCGCTGTGTTGCGCGCGCAAAGACCGAGGCGCTGACGCAGAGCGTGAGAACATGCGGTCTCAGAGCGTAAGTACCCGACCGCTCTCGACGCTGAGCTCGTCGGACGGCGACATCCAGAGTCGAGGGCAGCGTTGGCCGTCGTCGAGGTGGTGGTCGCGAGCCGAGTGGCAGCCAGCCAGCGCAGCCTGGCAGCAGCCGGTGTGGTCAGTCTGCCTTCCGGCCGAGCGAGAGAGGTGGCGGCTTTGCGGGGTGCCTGCGTGGGTCCGTGCACACCCTGGTTGCCTGCTCGTCAGCCTTGCCTGCCCTGGCCCTGCCTGCCTGAGCCTCGGATGGCATTCCGTCGGATGCACGCCGAGCCGCCCACATGGCGACCTGCCTGGTTGCTGTCGGCTGCTCCTCTCGCCCTCTCCCTCTCCCTCTCTCCCATTCTCTCTCTTCCCCTCGTTTGCCGACGACGTCGCCTTCTCTCTCCATCTGCCGTCCCATCTCAATCTCGCCGCGGATCGCATCGTATCGCCTCTGCGCCTCGTCTTCGTTGCTCGCTGCTTTGCCTCCAGCAGCCGTCCGTACCCCTGCCCTGGGACCTGACACGCAGCCGAGCGAAGCCAGCACCGTCCGCCCCCGCCGCCCTGGGAGCCGATTCCTGCCCTCTCTTTCCGGCACCATCGGCGTCCTTTCCGCCGCCTGGGTCATCGCCGTCTCGTTTCGTCCAGAGGAGCGGGTGCTCCGGCCTGAGCTCGCTCTTGCACCGCCCTCGCTACGCCCGGAGAGGGCATCGCTTCCGTCGCTCGTCGCTAGCGCATTGTTGGCAAAGCAGGCCGACCGCCGCCCCCTCGGGCCTTCCGATCGAGCCTGCTCTTCTCGCTCGCTCGCTCTGGCCGAGTCTAGCACAGCACGACACCGCTGTGGCCCATAGAGCTGCACTGATCCCAGGCTAGAGCACCAGCTGCGGCGGCACCAGCTCATCCGCACGCTCGCCACAGCGCGATACGACGACGACGACGTGGACCCGCTCGCGTCAGGCACGCCCGCCGCCCCGCAGCACCCTATCGGGAACTCGTCTCCCGAACAGCCTGCGCTCGACCCTGAGTTGCCAGGATCCAAGAGAGGGGGATCTGATAAGCGAACACCGAGCGACACCAGCGCAGCAACAGCAGCAGCAGCAGCAGCAGCAGCAGCAGCACACCCGTGACAGCAAGTGCAGATCCTGCGCCGCCCACGCCCGCACCGCCGCTAGAGGCCCTACCAAGACCTGCCACACTACTTTCCCATCGTTGGTTGCTGCACCGCCGTTCTGCACCCGCCCGCTACAAGTTCCGGCCACCACTCTGCTCTGCCTGCTCTGCTTGCTCCGCCCTCGCCAACCAGCAGCCGATCGTGACACCCTCTGCCTGCCTCTCTGCTTGAATCGTCGTCGGCTGGGCCAGAGCGGCTTAAACGGGTCCACGCCTACGGTGCCTTGTTCCGGCGCCCACGTTTGACCGATCGATCGGCCTGCCGGATCACGCCGCACCCTTCTTCGCGCTCCGTCTCTCCGAGACCGTCGTCGCCCCGTCACCCTGGCTCGCTCTCTCCATCTCCAGAACCGCCAGCGGCCAGCCTACGCCCTATCCCCTGCCTCTCCGTCACCGCAAGACCTTCCTGCGCATCCCTCTTGATCCGACGTTCTTGGCATTCGGAGCTCACCGACCTGCACGTACGCACATCGGCGCCAACCCCGCCACGTGTCGGCCCTCTCCCGTCTGCCATCACTGTACCCACGCCGGTACACTAGCCCTCACACGACGTGCAGATCCTCCGCCGCGGCGTCGGCACCATCCCGCCTCGACCTTCGCTCCGGCCGTGACCGCACAGCAGCGCCGCTCGCCTCGCTCCGAGACCCCCTCAGGGCCCCTCTAGCTGACAGAGGCCGACGATCCGATTGGGCCATCGTCATCGGAAGGCCGTGACGCTTGCCTGGGAGGGCGAAGCTCCTGTTGACGAGGAGCAAAAGACGGTCTCTCCGGCTCCAACGATCCGCGACAGCACACTCGGCGAGAGACGCTCGCAGCTGGATCGGATCCGACTGTCGCTGGCAGAGGCTCAAGGGCAACCTCGTCGCCCGTTCACTGCGACCGGCCTGCCGCAGCGCCGACGTCGCCACCCGCTCAAGCCGCAGCAAGCAGCCCGATTCGCGCGCGTCAACAACTCAGGCTCGTGCCGTGTATCTGCGTGCCTTCTTCCTTTGCCATAGAGCCCGCTTCTCGACGGCGGCCTTGCCCTATATCAACGACAATTCCCACTGGCTCTATCCGAGGCCATGGCGCTGATCAAGTTCGCGCCGTTTGGCGCCACGATCCACCCGTCGTTCTGGCAGCAGCTGTCGAGCTACAAGATCGACCGCCTCCAGCTGAGTGAGGAGCCTGTCGACGTGCGCGCTACCTACGCGGCAGGCAGGAGCATCCTCGACCGGCAGACGGGCCAGGAGGTCCACCTCGGCTGCAGCATCAACGTCGACGGCTCGAGCTTCCTCGGCGTCGGCAACGAGCAGGGTCCCGACGCTCCGTCGACGGCCAGCCACGCCGTCGCCGTCCGAGGCCGCCTCAAGAACTTCAACACCATCGAAGAGTTCAAAAAGGCCGATAAGCAGGCTGCATTCGACGAGGCGCTGCAGGATATCTGGCAGTCGATCCTCCATGCCGATGATCCTACGGACAAGCTCTCGAGCTTTCTCGTGCTGACCTTTGCGGACCTGAAAAAGTACCGATTCTTCTACTGGTTCGCCTTCCCAGCGCTGACCGCCAAGCCCTCTTGGGAGCTCGTGGGCGAGCCAGGAGGGGCAGAGGCAGGACAGGCAGGCCAGGCGGGCCAAGGAGGCTGGCGGTCGGTCGCGGACGTGCTCGGTGGCCGGGGTGCACAGTCGCTGGCGTCCCAGCTGGCTTCTCGGCACGACGCGGGCGAGCGATGCGACTTCTTCCTCGTCAAGCGCGCGTCTTCAAGCTCGGCGGATGCCGTCGAGGTGGCCGGCGTCAAGCACTTCGACGCCTTCTTTGCCGGCGTCGATGAAGGCGAGCGTATCGTCGGCCTCCTCGACCCCTCGTCCAACATCGACGCGCCTGGCTGGCCGCTGCGCAACCTGCTGGTCATGCTGCACGCGCGGTACGGCGTTTCAAGGATCAAGGTGGTGCGGTGGAAGGATGCCATCTCGGCGGCGATCCCCGCGGGAGGAGGTGCGACTCTGGGCGGAGGCTCGGGAGCGGCGAGGCTCAGCCTGATCGGCGACGTAGTGCTGCCCAAGCTACCGGAGAGCGTCGACGGCAGCGCAGGCAGAGTCGTCCTCGACGGCGGCCGGACGCTCGCGCTGGCATCCCAGCCGGACCGGCCCGATGCGCCGGCGGGCGTGGGCTGGGAGCGCAACGCGCAGGGCAAGCTGGGGCCCAAGGTGGCCGATCTGGGACCGCTGATGGACCCGGCGCGGCTGGCCGACCAGGCGGTGGACCTCAACCTCAAGCTGATGCGGTGGCGCATCATGCCCGACATCAAGCTCGAGCGGATCCAGCAGACGAGGTGCCTGCTGCTGGGCGCGGGCACGCTGGGTTGCTACGTGGCTCGCACGCTGCTCGGGTGGGGCGTGCGCCACATCACGTTTGTCGACTCGTCGCGCGTGTCGTTTTCGAACCCGGTGCGCCAGCCGCTGTTCGACTTCCAGGACTGCCTCGACGGCGGCAAGCCAAAGGCGCAGTGTGCCGCCGACAAGCTCAAGCAGATCTACCCTGGCGTGGTGAGTGAGGGCGGCCGACGACAGGACGCGTTGCCGGAGGAAGGAGGCGCTGATTCGATGATCCCCCCTCTCCCTACTTGATGGCGTCGTCAGACCTCGGAGGGCCACACGCTCAACATCCCGATGCCAGGGCATCCCGTAGCGCCGGGCTCGGTCGAGCAGGTGAGGCGGGACGTGGCGCAGCTCGAGTCGCTCATCGACGGGCACGATGTCGTCTACCTGCTCATGGACTCGCGCGAGAGCCGCTGGCTGCCGACGGTGCTGGGCGCGGCCAAGTCGAAGCTCGTCGTCAACGCCGCGTTGGGCTTCGACACGTACCTCGTCATGCGCCACGGTGCGCCGCCCGCGTCGCCGTCGCCGTCGGCGGCCAATGACCGGGGAGACGAGATGAGCAAGCCGCCGTCGCACCGGCGCCTGGGGTGCTACTTTTGCAACGACGTCGTGGCGCCCACCGACTCGCTGACGGACCGGACGCTGGACCAGATGTGCACCGTCACGCGGCCGGGGCTGGCGGCGATTGCGGGCGCGAGTGCCGTCGAGCTGATGGTGTCGACGCTGCAGCACGAGCGGGGCATGCGTGCGCCTGCGGCCTCGTCGTCGTCGTCGTCGTCGCCGTCGAGCAGCGGGTCGGGCGCCGCGGCGGATGCCGGGCAGGATGACACGTCGACGGTGCTGGGCGTGGTGCCGCACCAGATCCGGGGCTTCCTGGCTAAGTTCAACAACCTGCTCATCGTCGGCCAGGCCTACGACCGGTGCACGGGCTGCAGCGCCGCGGTCGTCGACGCCTACCGCCGCGACGGGTTCGACATGCTCCTGCGTGCGTTCAACGAGGACCAGTTCCTCGAACGCCTCACTGGCCTCGATAAGATGTACGCCGAGGCCGACGAGATCGAGGCTGCCCTCGACTGGGAGGAGGACGACGAGGAGGAGGAGGGCCAAGAGGCCATGTAGCTGCGGCGGTCGTCGGCGTCTGGTTTGGATTCGAGTCGCGTGCAATGGCCATGGTCGATGCTGTTCCCGTCGATCTGGGTGCGAAGGAGATGGCTGTGCTCAGTCGAGGTCGTGGTTGCCAGTCGTCTCACGGCCTACATGGGCGGATGAGAGGATGGCGACAGAGGACAGAACTGGACGTTGCGGGCGAGGCGGGCTAAAAGTACAGCGGGTGACGCAGAGAGGGAGAGAGAGAGAGGGAGAGCGGGAGAGAGAGAGGACAAGGGAGAGTGGAGGAGCGGGACAGGAGAGAAGGAACTCTTCCACCATCTCAGTTGTTCTGGCTAAACTTGTAGCCGCATTTGGGGCAGGTGTAAAAGACGGTGCTGCCCTCGTCTGCGCTCCTCATTTGGAGCGTGTGAAAGTTCATCTCGTCGTGTCCGCAGCCGGGGCATTTCTCCTTGATGGTGGCCTCTGCGGGAGCGGCCGCGTCGTCGTAGTTGGCGGCGGTGCTGACGAGCTGGCGCTTCTGGCGGAGCGCCGAGGGAAATGCCGAGGGGTGCGACTTGGTCGTGACGCGCAGGTTGTCGTAGACGGTGGCGTCCTGGACGGCGCCGCAGGGCTCGCACCGGATGCTGTCGTCGTCCTTTGCAAAGTCGAGGAGCGAGCCGCAGTTGGAGCAGAAGAGGAGCGAGCCGATCTTGTCTGCGGGCGGGCGAGCGTGGCGGGCAGAGAGTTGCGGGAGGGCGGGTATGGACCGGTCAGCAAGGTGGCCCCGCTCGTTGTCGCCCCGGGGAAGAGAGAAGGGGTGTGAAAGACGACGGGGGACAGGGCCTACGAGCGACGTACCTGGTAGCGCAGCGTGCGACATGGCGGGCAAGCAGCGAGGTATGTGGTGGAGCAGGCAGAGCGCGGGAGAGTGTGGCGATGGCGGATCGAGGAGTGGGGTCTAGGAGCGAGGAGCTAGGACGGGCGGTGGTGGTCGAGAAGATCCACGGGGCCCAGAAAAATGTTGGGGGCGGTGTGGCCAAAATTGCGGGCGAGGGCTGTCCCCCGGGTCCCGGCATCCGAGTGCATGGCTGCCAATTTTTTTTTGCGCGTTGCAAGCGCGACCCTGGCCGCATCTCTTTCTGGCGAGAAGAAAATTTGGTGGCCGAGGCGGCGGCTGGCGGCTGGCCCTCCCTCTCCTCCTCCCCCTCCATCATCGACCAACCACGACTGCGGCCACGGCAACCGCACACCATCGGACACTTCATACGACCGCGCGGAGGAAGCAGCAATCACCTTGCCTCTCGCAAATAGAAGCCAGCAGCCCGCCGTCCATCCAGCCTGCCCAACGGCCGGGCCTTTTTCGTTGCCGCTGCCTCTACGCCCGCTCAGCATCTCGGATCCTCTCGGCGCCCCGTATAGACCGGCCCCTTTCAGGCTCGCAGTCACCATGGTAAACGCAGGCAAGGCCAGCACAGCCATCGCCGCTGCACGCTACGCCTCGCCGTGGCGCTCGGCATTGCAAATCGACCTCGTCGCCGCCACAGACGCCCTCATCGCCGGCCTCGACGACCTGGCAACCGTCCCCGGCATCCTCGAGGGCATCCAGCACAGCATCGCAGCCATCAAGCAGCAGGCCGCAGCAGCACAGCCCACACTTCCTTACACCCTGCTCCTCGACCAGATCTCCCAGCTCCTCGTCGCCTCGCCCATTCATGCTCACCGCGTGGCTGCCCACCTCCGACCCATCCTCGTCGACCTCGCTGCACGCCTTCTTCCTCCGCCGTCGCAGGCGCTAGATGCATCCTGGCACCAGCCCACCGTCCGCGCCACCTTTTGCGCGCTCGCTAGCCTGGTCGGCCCGTTTGAGGAGCTCTACGAGTGTGTGTCAGCCCATCGCCTCGTCGCAGCATCGCACTTCATCTCGCTGACTTTGACCCCACTTTCTTTCCTCGCACCGCCAACAAACAGCGTTCTCTTTGCCCTCATCTCGCAGCCTGGCCTTGCCGGAGGTCCGCTCAGGGATCTCTCGGCCCAGTGGCTCCAGGACCGACAGCAGCTCGATGACATCCTCCTCGCCACATGGCGTCTGCTCAGCACCTCGGCCGTTGCTCTCGACCACCTCCCACAGGCCTGGCCATCCGAATCGCTACATGCCATCATCTCGTCGACAGATCTGCCCGCCGGCACCCGCCTCCTGGCGCTCGAGGTCTTTGCCCTCCAAGAGCGGTTAGGGCAGGCCACCAAGCTCGAGCTCCAGCAGCGGTGGATCGGCCGCCCATCCGTCGTCGTGCCCCAGAGCACCGAAGCGGTGGCGAGCGGAAGCAGCAGTAGCATCAGCACGGGAATTGTGGCGGAGATCCAGTCTCGCGAGGAGCCTGGCCGGTCAATCGACGTCTGGATCCTCGAGGAAGAGGAGCGAAGACGCAGCGCCGCCGTGCGACGTGCCTGCCTCTCTACCCCGATCCCTTTTTTGCCAGCCGAGGATGCTTCTGGAGAGAGCCTATCTGCACCACGCCAAGTCAAGGCCGAGGACCAGATGGACGTCGATCCAGACTCGCAGCCGTCAGTCCCGACTTCGCCCTTATACCCGGCTCTCCGACCACATGATCTCTGCTCTTCGGTCTGCGAGGTCGGCGGCGTCGTCCTGGTCCGCTCCAGCACCGGCAACAGCGCCGCCCCTTCGCCGGTCGACGCAGCCTCGACGCCTTCTCAGTCTGCATCCTTTGTCGAGACGCCAAGCTGCAGGCCTGCACTGGCAGAGCTCGGACTGCATCTTTCGGCGCGGCTGCCGATCCTCCTGTCTGGCCCGCCCTCGAGCGGCAAGACGGAGCTCATCTCGTTTGTCGCCAGCCTGCTCCGGCCGGCTTCGGCGCTCGACGACGCCGTCGTGGCCGCTGCGAAGACCAACGTTCTCAACATCCAGCTGGGCGACCAGTCGGGCGTCGACGCAAAGCAGCTGCTCGGATCCTTTGTCTCGAGCCCGACGCGGCCCGGCACCTTTGAGTGGTCCGAGGGCGCGCTGACCCGGGCGGTGCGCATGGGCATGTGGGTCGTGCTCGAGGACATTGACAAGGCCGGCAGCGAGGTGCTCAGCACCGTCGGCCGCCTCGTCGAGCAGCTCGGACCCACCAAGCCCGCCGGCGCTCGCCCCAGCATCGATCTCGGCAGCCGTGGCAAGGTCGTCGCTGGACAGGGCTTTGCCCTCTTTGCGACCCGATCGACGCCTGCCTCGGCCTCGGCGCCGACCTCGGCCTCGTCTGGTGCCAGCGCCGCTGCTGGCTCCTCGTCGACGTCCGCTTCAGCGTCGACCTCAAAGTCGGCGGCGGCTGCGATGCCCCGACCCACGTTCCTCGGCAGCGAGCACTGGGCCGAGGTGCAGCTGCGCGCGCCCACCCGCGACGATGTCGAGCGCATCCTCAGCCGCAGCTTCGCCAGGCTCTCGGCCGCGGCCAACGGCGGCTTCCTCCAGCGCCTGATCAACACGTGGGACAAGGTCCGCAGCGCCACCGTCGGCGCGTCGGCCAAGTCAAGGCAGCAGGAGGTGGCCGCGGGCGCGCTGCGGACCGCAACGTTGCGCGACCTGATCAAGTGGTGCCGCCGCGTCGAGAATTTGCTCAAGAGCAGCAAGGTGGCCACGTCCGACCCGTTCACCATCCCACAGCAGCAGGAGGACGTCTTCATCGAGGCGTGCGACGTCTTCCTCGGCGCGCTGCCCTCGTCTACCGCCAACCTGGCTCCCGGCACCGTCCCACAGCAGCAGTCGCAGTCGCAAGCGCAGGCTGCATCGACGGGCAAGGCTGTGGACCGCTACAGCGCCCTGGTCGAGCTCATCGCCGAGGAGCTCGGGCTTAGCAGCGAGCGAGCGTGGTGGTCGCTCAAGGGCCGCACGCCCGAGCTGTCACTGCAGACGCCCGACGCCGCCGAGCTGGCGGCCGACGGCGGCCACCTCCGGCCCTCGATGCTGCGAGTGGGGAGGTGCCAGCTGCCGCGCAAGCCGCGCTCGGCCCAGTCGCGCGCCCAACCCATCAACCGCAAGTTTGCCCTGACCAAGCCCACCCTCGGCCTGCTCGAGCGACTGGCGGTCTCGACGGCGCTGAGCGAGCCGGTGCTGCTGGTGGGAGAGACGGGCACGGGCAAGACGACCGTCGTCCAGCATCTCGCCTCGCTGCTCGGGCGCTCGATGACGGCACTCAATCTGAGCCAGCAGACCGAGAGCGGCGACCTGCTCGGAGCCTTCAAGCCGCTCGACCCCAAGCTGCCCGCCACCGAGCTCCACGACGAGTGGGTGCAGCTCTTCTCGCGCACCTTTTCGTCGCGCCGCAACGCCCGGTTCGTCGAGGCCGAGCGCAAGGCGTTCCTCGGCGGCAAGTGGGCCAGGCTCGCGGGGCTCTGGCGCGAGTCGGCCAAGATGGCGGCGCAGCGCAAGAAGGCGGCCGCCGCCAACGGTGACGCCTCCGGCGCGGCATCGGCCCCGGTCCCTGCTGAGGCGACCACGGCGGCGGCAGCGGCGACGACGACGACTACCACCACCACCAAGTCGAGGAAGAAGCGGCGCACCGAGAACGGCTCGGCCGAAGGCTCGGCGTCTGGCATCGACGACGTCGAGGCCGACGCCAAGCTCGACGCCGAGTGGGTGCGCTTCGACCAGCTGGCGCGCGACTTTGGCATCCAGCACGGCTCCAAGAAGCGCAACCTGGTCTTTTCGTTTGTCGAGGGTCCGCTGATCCGCGCGCTGCGCCAGGGCGACTGGGTGCTGCTCGACGAGATCAACCTGGCCGCGGCCGAGACGCTCGACTGCCTCTCTGGCCTGCTCCAGTCGCCCAGCTCGAGCATCACGCTGACCGAGCGCGGCGACCTCGAGCCCATCCCGCGCCACCCAGACTTCCGCCTGTTTGCCTGCATGAACCCGGCCACCGACGTCGGCAAAAAGGAGCTGCCCTCGGGCCTGCGCTCGCGCTTCACCGAGCTCTACGTGCCCAGCCCGGACTCGGACCGCGACGCGCTCGTGGCCATCGTGGAAAAGTACATTGGCGAGCACGCCGTGGGCGACCGCGGCGTCGTCATGGACGTGGCCGAGTGCTACGCCGAGATCCGCCGCATGGCGCAGCGCCACGAGCTAGCCGACGGCGCCAACCAGCGCCCGCACTACTCGATCCGCACCCTCGCGCGCGCCCTCACTTTCGCCACCGACATCGCGCCCTCGTTTGGCCTGCGCCGCGGGCTGTGGGAGGGCTTCGTCATGGCCTTCACCCTGCTGCTCGAGACCAAGAGCGCCCAGGCGGTGCGCGAGGTCATCGAGCGCAACGTGCTCGCCAAGGCCAAGAACGCGCGCGCCATCGCCACCTTCACGCCGCCCGCGCCTCCGGGCACCGACGAGGGCAAGTTTGTCCAGGTGGGGCCGTTTTGGCTCGAGACGGGCCCGCTGCCGCTTGACGCGGCCGGAGATTACGTCCTCACGGCGTCGGTCCAGGCCAAGCTGGTGGGCCTGTCGCGCGCCGCCCTGACCCGGCGCTTCCCCGTCCTCATCCAGGGCCCCACGTCGGCGGGCAAGACGAGCGCCGTCGAGTACCTGGCCCGCCGCACGGGGCACCGCTTCGTCCGTATCAACAACCACGAGCACACCGACATCCAGGAGTACCTCGGCTCGTACGCGTCGGACCCGGACACGGGCCGGCTGGCGTTCCACGAGGGGCTACTGGTCAAGGCGCTGCGGCGCGGCGACTGGATCGTGCTCGACGAGCTCAACCTGGCGCCCACCGACGTCCTCGAGGCGCTCAACCGGCTCCTCGACGACAACCGCGAGCTCGTCATCCCCGAGACGGGCGAGGTGGTCCGCCCGCACCCGCACTTTATGCTCTTCGCCACCCAGAACCCGCCGGGCCTCTACGCGGGGCGAAAGGTGCTCAGCCGCGCGTTCCGCAACCGCTTCCTCGAGCTCCACTTTGACGACGTGCCCAAGGCCGAGCTCGAGACGATCCTCACCAACCGCTGCGCCATCGCGCCCTCGTACGCCGCGCGCATCGTCGGCGTGTTCGAGGAGCTGCAGAAGCGCCGCCAGGCGGGACGCGTCTTTGAGACCAAGCAGGCCTTTGTCACGCTGCGCGACCTCTTCCGCTGGGGCATGCGCGAGGCCGTCGGGTACCAGCAGCTGGCCGAGAACGGCTACATGCTCATCGCCGAGCGCGCCCGCCGCAGCGACGACCGCGCCACGGTCAAGGAGGTCATCGAGAGCGTCATGCGCGTTAAGATCAACACGGCATCGATCTACGACCTTCACGGCGCCGGGCGCGAAAAGGTGGCCGCCCGCATCGGCCCGACCGTCACCGACTCGATGATGCGCGCGGTCGGCGAGTCGCGCATCGTGTGGACCGACGCCGTGCAGCGCCTCCTCTGCCTGGTGGCCACCGCGCTGCGCTACGACGAGCCCGTGCTCCTCGTCGGCGAGACGGGCGCGGGCAAGACGTCGGTCTGCGAGGTCCTCGCCCACGCCTTTGGCCGCAAGCTGCACAGCGTCAACTGCCACCAGAACACCGACACGGCCGACCTGCTCGGCGGGCAGCGCCCGCTCCGCAACCGCGCCGCGCTCCAGGCCGAGGCCAAGCTCGCCGCCCTCGATGTCCTCGAGCGGGTCGGGGTCGCCCACTCGCTCACTGCCCAGAGCCTGCCCGAGGAATTTGCCGCCGCCCTGTCGTCGGTGCTGTCCAAGTGGCCCTCGGCGACCAGCGAAGCTGCTGTCAGCGCCTCGGAAGCTGGAGTGACGGCCGACGAGAGCGCAGCGCTCAAGGCGCACACGGCCAAGGTGCTGCAGAAGGTCAACCAGTCGACGGCGCTGTTCGAGTGGCACGACGGGCCGCTGGTGCAGGCGATGCAGGCCGGGGACCACCTGCTGCTCGACGAAATCTCGCTCGCCGACGACAGCGTCCTCGAGCGCCTCAACAGTGTCCTCGAGCCCAGCCGCACCCTGGTGCTGGCCGAGCGCAGCACCACGTCGTCGCCCAGCGCAGTCCGCGATGGCTCCGACATCTCGGCCGCCGAGATCCGCGGCGCCGCCGGCTTCCAGGTGCTCGCCACGATGAACCCGGGCGGCGACTACGGCAAAAAGGAGCTCTCGCCGGCGCTGCGCAACCGCTTCACCGAGATTTGGGTGCCGCACATCGACGTGCGCGCCGACCTGGTGCGCATCGTCGAGGCCCAGTGGCGCGACGATGCGCTGCGTGCCTGGACCGAGCCGCTGCTCGACTTTGCCGACTGGTTCGTCCACCAGATTGGCGGCATCGACCAGGCCAACATCGGCCTGCGAGACCTGCTCGGCTGGGCCGCCTTCATGAACCAGACGGCGGCCGGCGACGCGCCGGTGCTCGAGCCGGCGCTCGCGTTTGCCCACGGCGCCTCGCTCACCATCATCGACGGCCTCGGCGCGCTGCCGGCCACGGCGGCCATGTCGGCCCACGGCCTGCGCGAGCTGCGCGCAAAGTGCTTTGCCAAGGTGGCCGCCATGATTGCGCCCGTCGAGTTTGACGCCGCGTCGCCTGCCATGTTTGAGGTGAGGCAGACTGCCGACCGCTTCGGCGTCGGTCCCTTTGCCGTAGCGATGGGCTCTGTCGCTGCTGCCGCTGCTGTCAGCGCTGATGGCGACGGCAACGACGCGGCGGCCGGCTCGTTCAGCTTTGGCGCGGCCACGTCGGCGTCGAACGCGATGCGCGTGCTGCGGGCGCTGTGCGTGCCCAACAAGGCGCTGCTGCTCGAGGGCAGCCCGGGTGCCGGCAAGACGAGCCTGATCAGCGCGCTGGCCAAGGCGACGCGCAACCCGCTCACGCGCATCAACCTGTCCGACCAGACGGAGCTGGTCGACCTCTTTGGCGCCGACCTGCCCGTTGAAGGCGGCGGGCCGGGCGAGTTTGCGTGGCGCGACGCCGCCTTCCTCACGGCGATGCAGAAGGGCGAGTGGGTGCTGCTCGACGAGATGAACCTGGCCTCGCAGACGGTGCTCGAGGGCCTCAACTCATGCCTCGACCACCGCGGCACCGTCTTCCTGCCCGAGCTCGGCCGCAGCTTCACCAAGCATCCGAGCTTCCGCCTGTTTGCCGCGCAGAACCCGCACCATCAGGGCGGCGGACGCAAGGGCCTGCCAAAGTCGTTCCTCAACCGCTTCACCAAGGTGCACATCGAGGAGCTGACGCCCGACGACATCCTCGAGATCTGCACCCACCTCTACCCGCGCTTCGACCCGGCCGACCTGCGCAAGATGATCGCCTTCAACTCGCGCCTCCACCACGAGACGATGGTGCGCCACAGCTTCGGCCGCGTCGGCGCGCCGTGGGAGTTTAACCTGCGCGACCTCCTGCGCTGGCTGACGCTGCTCCACTCGAATCTCGGCCTCAATGTGCGCGGGGCGCCCATCGAGCACCTCGCCTCGCTCTACGTCCTCCGCTTCCGCACTGCCGCCGACCGCCGCGCCGCCCGCGGCCTCTACGCCGACGTGTTCGGCATCCCGCTGCCGGACGACGTGCGGCCGTGGCCCAGCGTCACACCTCGACACGTCCAGTTCGGCCACGCGCTCCTCGAGCGCGGACCCCGGCGCCTCGACGCCACGGCCAACCTGGCGCTGCTGCAGCACCAGCTGCCGACGCTCGAAGCGCTCGCCGACTGCCTGCAGATGTGCTGGCTCGGCATCCTCACGGGACCCAGCGGCGTCGGCAAGACGAGCGTCGTCCGCCTGCTGGCGCAGCTCGCCGGCGCGCGCCTCGAGGAGTTTTCGATGAGCTCCGGCACCGACACCATGGACCTGCTCGGAACGTTTGAGCAGTACGACCCGCAGTCGCAGCTGCGCGACGCCCTGGTGCGCGTGCGCCTCGCCGTCGAGCGGCTCATTGAGCGGGGCGGCGCCGTCGCCTCGTCGGACGAGTTTGGCCGGCTGTCGGCCAGCGACCGCGCCGTGTCGGCTGAGCTTGACCTGCTGGTCGCCCACAAGGACCACGCCGTCGACCACGCCGGGCTGCTCGCCGCCATCGACACCCTCGCTTCGCATCCGCTGACGGTCGAGGATGACGACGCCAAGCACGCCATCGCCTCCGCGCGGCAGTGCATTGTCCAGAGCCGGCAGCTGCAGCTGCAGCAGCGGGCTGATTCCGCAAACGAGGGCGGCGGCAGCTCGGGCCGCTTCGAGTGGACCGACGGCCCGCTGCTGCGCGCCCTCAAGGAGGGCCACTGGCTGCTGCTCGACAACGCCAACCTCTGCTCGGCCTCGGTCCTGGACCGGCTCAACTCGCTCTTCGAGATCGACGGCCAGCTCGTAATCAGCGAGCGCGGCGTCGTCGACGGCGAGGTGCCCGTCGTCCGGCCGCACCCCAACTTCCGCGTCTTTATGGCGCTCGACGCGCGGCACGGCGAGCTCTCCCGCGCCATGCGCAACCGCGGCATCGAGATCTGCATGGTCCCTCCCGCTGCGGCCGGCTCGGCTGGACCTGCCTCTGGCTCCAAGATCGCGACGCTTGAGGGTGATGCCGACCGGCTGCGGCTGTCGAGCCTCGCTCGTGCCGATGTGGTGCCAGTCGCTGCAGCCTCCGCGCGCGACGTCAGGCACGACGCTGCGCTCATGCCGGCGACGATCGCATCGCAGGCCGCTCGGCGAGGCATGCTCGTTGCCAGCGCTGCTACACAGGCTCAGAGCGAGGACGAAGCCAAGCGCACCGCGCACTGGGCCGCGTCATCGCTCGTCCTCCGCAACTCGGCGCTCGCCGCCGGCGTCGCTGCCTCGGCCTTCCTCTGCAGCGGCAGCGACCAGGACCTGTCGGCGGCGGCGGCGTCGCGCTCGTACCTGCTCCGCTTCTCGAACCCAGAGGCCGTGCCGCTCCTCACCCACCTGCTGGGCCGGTACGCCCGAGACGCCGACACGCAGCAGCAGTCGCTGCTCGCGCTGCAGGTCTGGTCCAAGGCCGACAACGTGTCGAAGCTCGTCACGCAGCGCATCGAGGCGCTCGCCGGCGGCGGTCTCGCCGTGCCGCGTCCCTTTGTCGAGCGCCAGCCGTTCGATGTGCGCTACAACGACAACGTCTCGGCGCTCCTCGAGCAGGACCAGCAGCAGCAGCAGCTCGACGCATCGTCGCACGACGGCGGCAAGCTGCAGCTGTACGCCGCAGCGCTGCTGCAGCAGATCGCGCTGCGATCGCTCTCGGAGGCGGCGCAGAAGAAGGACAAGAAGTTGCTGAGCGTCATGGAACAGTCGGCCCTGGCCGCCCTCAACAGCGACGGCGCCAACGCCGGTGCATCCGGCTCTGAGCAGAGCGAGGAATCGGCCATCCAGCAGGTGTTCCCGCTCTCGGCCTCGATTGTGCGAGCGGTGCAGGAGTGGTCGGGCTCCGACGCAGCCCTCGACAGCCAGGTGGCGGCCCGCGTCCAGACCCTGCTGCACACGTGCGGCTTCCTCGAGAAGCTGTGCTCGAGCTCCGAGCTCGACTACTCCGCCATCCAGGTGCTGGTCCAGGTCATGGCCGAGACGATGGCCAAGCTCGATGCGGCCGGCCTGCCGCTCCAGGCGGCGCTCGGCAGCGCCCTCGATCAGCTTGGCGGCAAAATCAACCTGACCTCGGGCTTCGCCATGCAGACCATCTGGACCCTCTGCCTGGCCAAGGCGGCCGACAGCCGCGGCGCCGAGCTGTCGAGGCAGATTGCCGATGTGCTGGCCCGCTCGCCGCCGCGCAGCCTGCCCCGCGACGCCGCCGTCAATGCGCTCGATATCGCCGCCACCCTGACCCTCAGCGGCGCGGCGTGGTCGCAGAAGCAGTCGGCGGAGCTGCTCGACCTCGGACGCAAGACGCTTGCCTCGCTGCAGAACCTCGAGTCCAAGGCCCTCCAGGAGCAGCAGCAAGACGGAGAGACTGCCGGCTGGAGCACGGCAGAGGAGGATACGCGAGAAGCAGTGGCCGCCTCGGCCATGGACGTCGCCGTCCAGAGCGTGCTACGCTCGGCGTCGGCGTCGGTCTCTCCGGCGGGCAGCGTGGGCAGCGTCGACCTCGCACGGCTACGCTGCTTCGTCGAGCTGCTCAAGCAGGGCTCTGGCCTCCCTCTCTCGGCCGCCGTCCCCGTGCGCGCGGCCATCTGGTCGCTCGAGGCATCGGGCGGCAACGTTCTGGCGAGCAGCGGCGCCGCTGACAAGCTCGATGCGCCCGACGTCGAGTGGATCCGCCGCCTTTGGGCCCAGATCGACCCGGCAAGCGCTGGCGAACGCCAAGGAGGAGGGCGCCGCCGCCGTGACCACGCCGGGCCAGCCGAGCTCTTCCGCCCCATGCTGCTGCGCGCTATCCTCGACTCCCGCTCCGACCGCGTCAGCCTCGAGCGCCGGATCGAGCACGATGCGTCGGCGCGCAGGCTGGCGCTCTCGGCGTGCGTCGCCACGCCTGCCATGATGCCGTCCAGGCTTGAGCAGGTCCGAAGCCTGCTGAATGGCTTTGCCAACTTGGTGAGTGCGGCGTCGAAGCTGGCAGACGAGGCGCGATTGCTGGAGCCCACGCATGCTGACCCGATCTCGACACCGCTCTCTCTCTCTCTCTCCCCCTGTCTCGATCGCAGATGTCCGAGGCTCTGAGGCGCTCAATCGCCCGCGTCGATGGAGTCCCGATCGGCAAGGACCGCACCGGCGGCGGCCGGAGTGCCGAAGTCGGCCTGCAGCGCCTCGCCACCGAGTTTGCCACGCTCGGCGAGCTCGAGGCCGTCTCGGACGAGTCGAGGGCGATCGCCTCCGAGTGGTCGGCCAGCCTGGCTCAGGTGGCTGCGCTGTCGACGGGCAAGCGCGGGCCCGAGGCGATGCTCGGAGCGGGCCAGGCGTGGGTGGTGCTGGCCATGTCGGTGCTGCGCCTCTACCTGCCCAACTTTGCGCTCGACCCGGTCGTGACGCAGCAGACGCGCGGCGCCTTTAGCGCCTTCTGCCGCGACGAGGTGCGGGCGCAGCTCGCCGTCGAGACGGCCGCCGAGGCCGTCGTCACGGGTCGGCCGGGCAACGCCATCACGCGGCAGCTGGGCGCGGAGCTGGTCGACATCACTGGCCGCATGGCCAAGGAGTCGACCAAGACGCTGCCGCGCGGCTCGGACCTCAAGCTCCTCACGCAGCTCTACCGCGAGATGCACGCCTTTGTGCAGCAGGTGCTGGCCACGTCGAAGCTGGCCGACCTGATGAACGCCATGCAGGCGGCCGAGTTCGACCAGCAGACCGAGGATCGCGAGGTCAGCCTGCAGGCGAGCATCATGGGCTTTGCGCACCGCCTGCGCCAGACGTTTGCGCCGCTCCACGACCTCATTGCGCCGTTCCTGCTGGTGCTGTCCCAGGTGCAGCTCGGCTTCCGCACCATGGCCCAGGCGGCCCGGCTGGCCAGCCGCACCGCCGAGGTCAACCGCCAGTCCAAGGTGCTCGAGGCGCTCGTCACCTTCCCCACGGCGGCCAGCATCGCTGCCTACGGCCGCCTCGAGCTGCCCGTCAAGCTCAAGACGACGTCCAAGTCGGGCGTCCTGACGGCGCCGCTGCTCCTCGCCTCGGTCTCGTCGGTGGCGCTTGATGCCGAGCGCCTGGGCGCGCAGAGCGTGCGCCAGATCGGCACTCTCCGCCGCATCAGCCGCACCTACGACCAGCTCTACCAGCTCTGGACGCTCGACCGCGAGCGCGAGCGCCAGGCCGAAGAGGCCAACGCCAGCCTGTACAAGTCGAAGCGCTTCGACCTCGAGATGGCTGCCGACGCCGAGGCCGAGGAGCGCGAGTTCCGCATGCTCTTCCCGGAGTTCAATGACGTCCTCGACGAGCCGTCGGGCGGTCAGCAGCAGCAGCAGCAGCAGCAGCAGGACGCAGCGGCAGACTCGACGGCGGTCAACTCGCTCCTCAAGCCGCCGCACTTTGTCCAGCTCTACCGCGCCCACATGGCGCTGTTCGGCGACGGCGAGGTGGCCAGGCAGCAGGCTGCCGCGTCGCGCGAGGTCTTTTACGCCAGCCGCGCCGAGCTGGTGCGGAGGATCGTCAACTCGCACTACGCCCAGCTCAGCGAGAAGATCGACCAGATCGGCGCCGCTTATCAGGTGGCCGCTGCGACCTCGAGCGTCGGCGCCCCGTTGGCCTCGCCGGACGACGGCACCGGCGGCGGGGTGGGCAGGTTCAACTTCTACCTCGACCCCCGGCCGGACGAAGCGGGCAAGGTGATTTCGATCGTCGACGGTCTGCGCCGCCGCCTGTCGGAGCTGATTGCCGAGTGGCCGGACCAGATGGTGCTGCAGCACATCCGCGACCGCTGCGATGCGCTGCTGCGCCTCGACTCGGCGAGCCCGGTGGCCAAGGTGCTGAGCGCGCTCGAGCAGCTGCTGATGCACACCGAGGACTGGGAGGGCTTTGCCAGCTCGCAGACGACGCTGCAGCCGCACCGCGAGCGCGTCTCGGCCCAGATTGTCGAGTGGCGCCGCCTCGAGCTGTCGTGCTGGGCGCGCATCCTCGACAACCAGGCGACCGACTACGTCGAGACGGGCCTGGCCGAGTGGTGGTTCCGCCTCTTTGAGGTCCTCGTTGGCGGCACGCGCTCCGCCGCGGCCGAGGGCGACGAGGCGCGCCAGGCCCACGTCCGCAAGCTCATCGACTCGCTCGACCAGTTTGTGCGTTCCGGCTCCATCGGCCAGTACGAGGCGCGGCTGCGGCTGCTCGATTCGTTTTCGCGCTTCCTTGACCTCCTCGTCGAGCTGGCGCCCGTCGACGAGAGCCGCGGCCTGCGCGACGTCGGCGTGGTGCTGCAGAACGTTACGGCCTTCTTTTGGCAGTTCCAGCCCAAGGTGGCCGCGACGCTCCGGCAGCAGCGCGACGTCCTCGAGCGCGAGATCCGCAACTACATCAAGCTTGCCAGTTGGAAGGACGTCAACGTCCACGCGCTCAAGGCGTCGGCGCAAAAGACGCACCGGCAGCTCCACAAGTGCATCCGCTCCTTCCGCGACATCCTCCGCCAGCCCGCCGACCCGCTGCTCGCCGCCCACCTCGACGGCCTGTCGAGAAAGGACCTTCCCGCCGTCATCGCCATCAAGGTCGAGCACGCCCCCGCCAAGATCGACCAGCGGCTGTGGGCCGCCGTCTGCCGGGCGGGCGACGACGCCGTCGCTGCTCCGGCAGGACACCAGGCGCAGCTGCCGCAGCACCTCGCCAACCTGGCGCAGACGTACACGATGCTGCGCCAGATGGGCGGCAAGCACCTCGTGCCGCAGCTGACCGACGCCAGCGTGGCCGACGGCCTTTCTTCGCTGGCCGAGGAAATCATCGAGCGGCAGCAGTCGCTGGCCAAGCTGACGCCGGCGTTCCACAAGGAGGAGACCGAAAAGGCGATCAAGAACCTCAACCTGCGCAAGCGCAAGGCGTGGACCGAGCTGCTGCGCGAGCTGCGCCGCATCGGCCTCAACGGCTTCGTCAACTCGGACGTGCCCAAGCGCAACCAGGACAGCGCCTTTGTCTATACGCAGGAGCCGCTGCGCGCCGTCTGCCCCGCCTCGCTCGGCGGCGAGGTGTTTGAGAGCGTCGAGCAGTTCCACTTCCGCCTCCTCGCCGGCCTGCCCAAGGTGCGCGACTCGCTCGGCAACCACAGCGCCGACCTGTCGACGGCCGAGCTGCAGCGCTGCGTCAACTACGTCGAGCACTGCGTCAGCCTCGTCTTTGGCGAGCGCAGGCGCATGTCGAAGCTGCTGCGCGACTTTGCATGCCTCGAGAAGGTGGCGCACCGCATCGAGGTCGTCCACACCGTCGCCGGTGGCGATGCAGAGGGTGACGCCGCAGCGCCGATGGCCGTGACGAGGTCCAAGGCCAAGGACACGTTCGCCGACGCGGCCGACTTTGTGGCGCGCCTGGCATCGAGCCTGGAAGAGGTGCTGCAGCTGGCGCCCAAGCACATCGCCCTCTCGCCGTTCGGTCCGATGGGCACCGAGGCCGTGCTGACCAGCCTCGGCCGACTCAGCGCGACGGCGACCCAGCTTGCCGCGCAGATGCATCGCACCCGCGCCGACGCCGTCGTCATCGACTCGTTCTGCTTCCTCGCTGCGGGCGAGGAGCAGGTGCTGTCCAAGGCCGCCGAGCTCGCCCGCGAGGTCGTCGACTGCCTCGTCCGTGGCGAGGAGACGGCGCCGGCGCTGTCGGCCCTCGTCCGACCGACGCGCACCTGGACCGAGGCGATGAGCTACACCATCTCTGCCTGCCTCGCGTCCATCGTCGCCGACGGAGAAGAGGACGAGGACGAGGAGGAGCAGATTGCGCCCTTCCGCGACCAGAGCAACCGGGTCATCTCGTCGATCCTCCTCGTCGCCCAGGATCTGCGCAAGAAGGCCGATCTTGCCGCTGCCAAGCCGTCTGCTGCTGCCGATGGCGAGGCCAAGAAGGCCGACGACAATGACGCCGACGACGAGGACAAGGACCTCGAGGACAAGGCGGTGCTGTCGGAGCTCGAGCGCCTGGCCCACGACCACCGCACGCTGCGGTGCGAGTCGGTGCTGATCGAGGTGGAAAAGGCGCTGTCGCTGGCCGACTCGCTTCCGCACACGGCGTCGGCGGCAGCGGCGGCGCACCACCACCTGGCGCGGCTATCGCCGTTCGTGCACGAGTATGCATCGCTGCTTCGCGCCCACCTGGTCTCTTCGGCCAACTGGTCGCGCTCGCTGCTCAAAATGAGCCATGTGCTGTGCAACCTCGTGTCGGCGCTGGCCGCCAAGGGCTTCTGCAAGCCGCCCGAGGAGCAGCAGCAGCAGGACGGCGACGACGGCGATGGCGGAGAGCAGCTCGAGGGCGGCACGGGCCTCGGCGACGGTTCGGGCGCCAAGGACGTCACCGACCAGATGGACGACGACGAGCCCATGGAGGAGCTCGCCAAGGACCCCAACCAGGAGCAGGGCGACGATGGCGAAAGGGACGACAAGCCGGAGCGCGAGAAGAATGCGCGCGAGGCCGAGGACGACTTCGGCGGCGATATGGAGGAGATCGAGCCGAGCGAGGGCGAGGGCGAGGGCGACGACGACGAGCACAAGGACGACGAGCAGGACGACGAGGAGCCCGACGAGGCCGTGGGCGACGTCGATCCGCTCGACCCCAACGCCGTCGACGAGAAGATGTGGGGCAACGAGGACGACGACGAGGACAAGGAGGACAACAAGGACGCCAGGGACAAGACTGACAAGCAGGCCCAGGGCGGCGACGACGCCGACGACGACGACAACGGCCAGGACGACTTGGCGCCCAAGGACGACGAGGGCGAGCGGAAGCAGTCGGACTCGAAGCAGAAGAAGGAAAAGGCAGGCGAGAAGAGCGACAACGTCGACAAAGAGCAGGGTCAGCAGCAGGGCGATGACGACAACGACGACGGCGGCGCCGAGGACGAAGGCGACGAGGCCGAAAAGCACGAGGGCGACGACGAGGACAAGGGCGACGAGGAGGGCGAAGAGGAGGACCCGGACGCAGACCAGCAGCCCGAGGGTCTCGGCCGCCGCCTCGACGAGCAGATGCAGGAAGGCGAGAACCTCGACATCGACGACGAACTCAACATGGACGACGGCAACGAGCGGGACGAGGCCGAAGACGACGACAGCGGCGATGACGAGGACGGCCTCAGCGACCTGGCCGGCGACGACCTGCCGCCCAACGAGGAGAAGCAGAAGAAGGACGAGCGCCAGCCAGACGGACTCGACGACCTGGTCGACGACGAGCCGGGCAAGGAGGAGATCGAAAAGGCCGACGGCGACGACGAGGAGGACGGCGAGGGTGCCGAGCCCGACGAGGCGACCGACGAAAAGGTGGCCAAGGACGAGGGCGAGGAGGGCGCCGCCATGGACGAGGATGAGGGTGAGGGCCAAGATGGCGAGGATCAGGGCATCGACGACCAGCAGGCAGCAGCGCAGGACGAAAAGGCACAGCGGCCCAACGACGCCCAGGACCCGGACCAGCCGGTCAATCTCAACGACGACGGCGCCGCCTACGACCAGGGCATGGACGCCGGCGAGGACGCGAGCGCCGAGCAGCAGCAGTCATCGCGCGGCCAGCAGGGGCGACGGGCCGAGGCGGCGCAGCAGAGCACCAACGACGCCGACGACGGCATGATGGACGAGGACGACGAGGCGGCGCTGCCCACCGATCAGGACCCCTCGGCGGGCGGCGGATCGTCGCGCGCCCAGCGGCCGCAGCCCGAGGCGGTCGAGGAGACGTCGCAGCAGCGGCCGGACCTTGACGCCGCCAACCCGATGCGCTCGCTCGGCGATGCGCTGGAAGAGTTCCGACGCCGCTTCGAAGACATCCAGGAGGCCAACGACCAGGACCAGGCGGCCGACGACGAGCACCAGGGCGACGAGGCCAAGCCCGAGGGCGAGGGCATGCCCGAGCAGGGCGACGTCGAGCACGTCACCAACGACGACAACGCCGAGGGCCAGGCGCTGGGCGCGGCCGAGGACGAGGACCAGGTGCAGAAGCTGGGCGAGCTGGCCATCGAGGACGAAAACGACCAGCAGGGCGCCAAGCCGCGCGCCGAAGAGGCCAAGCCGGACCCGTCGCAGGCCGACGCGCCTGAACGCGCGCCGCTCGAGCTGCCGGATCTGGGCGGGCAGGAGCGCGACGACCAGGGCGAGGGCGCACAGCAAAAGGCGCTGATGCCGAGCGACATCAAGCCGTCGTCGTCCTCGCTCACGGCCGAGCAGGAGGCGCTCGCCAACGGCCGCGACGAGGGCGAGGTCAACCCGAACGCCCAGGACAACGACGACGAGGCCATGTCCGAGGGCGCCTCTTCGGACTCGGACAACGACCCGCTGCCGGACGTGGACCGCGCCGAGGCCGACGCTGCGCTGCTCGAGTCGCTCGACGAGTTTCGCGGCCTGGATGCCGAGGAGCGGCTGTCGCGGGCGGGCGACCTGTGGCGCTCGTACAATGCGCTGACGTCGGACCTGTCGTTTGCGCTGTGCGAGTCGCTGCGGCTGATCTTGGCGCCGACGCTGGCGACGCGGCTCAACGGCGACTTCCGGACGGGCAAGCGGCTCAACATGCGCAAGATTGTTCCCTTTATCGCGTCGGACTTTGCCAAGGACAAGATCTGGCTGCGGCGGACCAAGCCGTCGAAGCGCGAGTACCAGGTGCTGCTGGCCATCGACGACAGCCGGTCGATGGCCGAGTCCAAGTCGGCCCACCTGGCGTACCAGACGCTGTCGCTCGTGTCGGGCGCCCTCAACCGGCTCGAGGTGGGCGAGGTGGGCATCGTCAAGTTTGGCGAGACGGTGTCGACGCTGCACCCGTTCGGCACGGCGTTTAGCGATGCCGAGGGCGGCAAAGTGCTCGACTCGCTGCGGTTCGAGCAGAGGGGCACCGACGTCTACCGGATGCTCGAGTCGAGCCTCGAGCTGCTGGCCTCTTCGCGCGACGAGCGCGGCGGCGGCGGTAGTGGCGAGTCCAAGGAGCTGTGGCAGCTGCAGATTGTCATTTCCGACGGCATCTGCCAGGACCACGAGCGGCTGCGCTCGATCCTGCGCCGGGCCAATGAGCAGCGCGTGGTGCTCGTCTTTGTCGTTGTCGACTCGCTCTCGCCTCCCGCTCCTCCTCCTGCTGCTGCTGCTGCTCCCGCGGCAGCATCAACGTCGGCAACCACGCAGCAGCAACCACCACAACAGCAGCAGCGCGCGTCGATCCTGTCAATGTCGTCGGTGAGCTACGAGATGGACGCGCGCGGACGGCCGCAGCTCAAGATGCAGCGCTACCTGGACACGTTCCCGTTCGAGTACTATGTCGTGGTGCGCGACGTCGAGGCGCTGCCCGAGGTGCTGGCCGCCACGCTGCGCCAGTGGGCCGAAAAGATCCGCGAGATGGAGACGTGAGAGGGGAGGGAGGGGATGGAGCCCCAAAGGTGTACCTGTACATAAGCACGTCAGACGACGTTTGAGAATTCGAAGCGGGGCCATTTTCACTGTAGAAACGGAGATGTCGTCGGAGATCGAGGAGCAGCGAGGGTGGTGGTGGCGGTGGCGGCGGTGATGGGGACGAGTGCGGAACCGAATGTCGAGGGCCCGAGGGTCGAGCTAGGCCACGACGAGCGTGCCGTCCCCTTGCTGCGCTGCGCTGCGCGGCTTGTGCCAAGCCAGGCCTGGCTCGGGCGTGGCCTAGCCGCCTGCTCTAAACCAAAATAGAGCGGGGCGGGGCGTCGATCGCGTCTCTTGGCGCAGCAGATGAGGAATTTCTTTTTTCGGTTCCGCCGTCTGCCAAGCCCCGAGCGAGCGACGGCCGGCTCGGGGGCGAGCGCACGACACCGCCTCGAAATTTTCTCGCTCCCTAGGCCTCCCCCCCAAATCTGCTCGCCAACGCACGCACGCACGCACGCACGCACGCACGCACGCACGCACGCACCCTCGCCTGCGTGAGTTTTCGAGGATCGGCGTTTGAACGCCGAAACGCCAGAGCCAGCGCCAGGGCCAGCCGCAGCGCATGTCGATCCGCCCTACTCTGGTGCTGGTGCCAAGAAGGCACGCAACGCAAGGGCGACAAACGGAGCCAGATAGACTGCACCGACCGATCAGCATCAGCTCCTCTTTTAGCGGTGGCATCGGACCGTACCCTACATCGGGCGTGCCGCAATCATCTGGAGTCAGAGCGCCCTGGCCTGGAATCAACGTTCAAGATACCTAGGGCACGAGAGCAGACGGACGGGTATGCAGGCATGCGGCAGCTCCAGCGAGGTTTAGAGGGCGTGCGTTGCGCCGCGCTGGTGCCGCGTCCTGTATGTGTGATCTGCGCATTGTCTTGCCTTGGCCGTCGTAGGGCGGGCGGGTGCGGGTGCGGGTGCGGGGGCGAGGACAAAGGCAGGCGGGCAGGCAGGCTGGTGGGCGGACGGACCGCGCCAAAACCTCGTTGCCGATGCCGGCCAAGCCAGAAGCAAGCAGCACGCAGGCTGGAGGGTGGCGGGCCCGCCCCGAACGCGCGCGCTCCGACCTTTTTGGCCGCCCGCCCCCCTGCAGGCTAGGCTGGGCTGGTCTGCCAGGCTGGCTGGTGGACACGCAGGCCGCACGCCTCTGCCGGCCTTGGCTGGCAAGGCCCCGCCCGCCCTCTCTTCTGGCAGGAGCGAGGCGAGCCAAGCCTGCCAGGCGGTTTGTTGGTCGCCTCGGCCTGCGTGCTGCTTTGCTGAATTTGCCCCGCCTGGCTCCTCGCCTGCCGCTGGTCTGCTGCCCCCTGCTGGTCTGGCGCGCCTTGCCTGTGGCTGCCTCGCCCCCTCCCCCCCGACCTGCCTCCAACCTCGACCTCGACCACGACTCGGACCTCGAGCCGCCTCCGTTCTGCCCTCACGACCATCACCACCACCGCCCACCACCGCGCCGACTCCCGGAACCTCAAGGCCCCCCTTCCTTTCCGCATCGTCTTCAAAGGAATCATCACCACCACCACATCACCACCGCGCCACCAGGATCCATCCACCCACGCTCTTTGCCCCCGTGTACCCGTCTCACGACTCGACGCATCGTCTGTAGCCATCCTTTCCATCTAGACTTGCCCTCGCCATCGCGCCCCCGGGCTAGATCCTTGATTGCACGCATCCGCACCTCTTGCACGCCCAGATCCGTAAGTCGCCTTCCTTGCACGCACTCGGCTTCCTCCCGCCCAGAGCCTCGACTCATCGCCGCCGCCGCCACACTCGCACCTCGACCTTTTCCGCCACCCTCTCAGCACTCGCCACCATGGTCAAGTTCACCTCGGCCGCCCTCTGCGCTGCCCTCGCAGTCGCAAGCGCATCCGCTCACATGAGCCCCGTCCGCCGACAGGCCGCCACCAGCACCTTTACCGGCACCCTCGCCCCCTCGGTCTCGTCCATCGTCGCCACTATCAAGTCGGGCGAGGGCAACCCCACGGCCACCCAGCCCCTCTACTCGACCGCCAGCCCCGGCGCAAAGAACCCGCAGATCACCAACGCGCCCGCCCTCCCCGACGCAAAGCAGATCACCATTGCCAACTTCCCCCCGCTCGACGCCCTGCCCCCCACCGACTCGCCCCAGGTCCAGGCATGGATCAAGGAAATCGACTGGTCCAAGGTCCCCAGTGTCCCCTCGACCGTCGACGCCGCCTCGTGCTCGGGCAACCCCAACAACCTCAAGGCCGCCGGCGCAGACGGCAACTGCTGGTGGACCTGCGGCGGATGCACCCGCGACACCGACATCACCACCTGCCCCACCAAGAACACCTGGGGCCTCTCGTACGACGACGGCCCCTCGCCCTACACGCCCCAGCTGCTCGAGTACCTCAACGAGCACCAGCTCAAGTCGACCTTCTTTGTCGTCGGATCCCGCGTCCTCTCGCGCCCCGAGATGCTCCAGCTCGAGTACTCGGCCGGTCACCAGATCTCGGTCCACACCTGGTCCCACCCCTCGCTCACCATGCTCACCAACGAGCAGATTGTCGCCGAGCTCGGCTGGACCCGCGAGGTCATCCGCCAGACGATCGGCGTCTCGCCCAACACGATGCGCCCGCCTTACGGAGACATCGACGACCGCGTCCGCGCCATCTCCAACCAGATGGGCCTCACCCCCATCATCTGGACCTCGGCCCCCGGCGGCGGCAACTACGACACCAACGACTGGAAGATCGGCGCCGGCACCGTCTCGGCCGCCGAGGTCGTCTCGACGTTTGAGGGCATCCTCAAGAACGCCCCCAACCTCGACACCGGCTACATTGTCCTCGCCCACGACCTCTACCAGCAGAGCGTGGAGCTGGCCACCGAGGTCGTCCTTCCGTTTGCCCAGAGCATGAACCCCAAGCAGAACCTCATGCCCATCATTCAGTGCCTCAACAAGCCCGCCGGCGACGCCTACGTCGAGACCAACCGCAACATCACGGGCTCCCAGGCCACGGCCACCGCCTCGGGCTCGGCCGCCGTCAAGAGCGGCTCGTCGGGCTCCAACGGTGCCGCCGGCGCCCAGTCGACGTCCAAGTCGGCCAGCGGCTCGTCTAGCGGTGCCGCTGCCTCGCTCCAGGCGCCCCTCGTCCTGCTCGGATGCACCCTGCTCGGCGCTGCCCTCCTGTTTTGAGCAGCAGACGTAGCAGCAGCGGCGGCCTCGGTGTCGGCATCGCCTTCACCGCTCGCTTTGCTCGACTCGTTTGCTTGCTTGCTTGCACGTGCGCCCGCGGCTCGATTGGTTTTGTTGGGCGGGCCTGGACGCCTGTGCCCGCGCCAATCCACCGCGATGGACGTGTCGCGCTTTCCGGAACCGGTGCTCAAACCTCGCACCCGCACTCTTCGACCTCATCCACGGACATTTCGGAAAACTCCTCTCTTTCTCTCGCTCGATGGCATCTGCTGCGATCGTTCGCGACCGGCATCGCTCCCCTGGCTCGGCCTCGCCTGCCCGCCACCGCATCCCGTCTTCATTCGGCCTAGATTGGAGTAACATGGAGGCGGAACACTCTAGCCAGCCAGCCAGCCTGTCAGTCCCCTCTCTGCGGTCCTCGGGCGGCCGTCGCGCCTGCGTGACGAGCTCCGAGGGTGCACCTGGACATGGATGGAGCCCTGGACGTCTCGTCCTCACCGGCCGCCGCCTGTTCTATCCCCACCCAATCTTGACATCTTTTCTCACCTACCACTGCCGCCGCGCTACCGTCTTGCCCGCCCGTGCGCCCGCCCGGCCGCCCGCCTGCACGTTGGTAGATGCTCTTGCCCACCCACTGCCGCTGCCACCTGGCCATGCATGTTCGCTGCGGCACGCCACCCGACGGCGATGATGTTCTTTTTTTTTCGTTGTGGTTTTTCGCCTCGATTTTGTTCTATCCAGCCCTGGTGTTGACAAAAATTCTCGTCCGTCGTTGATCTCGCTGCCTTCTTTCGCTCGGGAGGTCCGTAAAAGTCGTTTGCTCGGTGATGAAACGATGGGTCGTGCTTGGCGGAGGCTCGATTCGGTCGATGTGCATCCACCTTGGTGAGGTGAGGTGAGGCGAGGTGAGAAGAGGAAGCGGGCCCAAGTGGTGGACCAAGATCGATCCGTGCAGAAGTAAGTTCGTTGGTGCGTGAGCGGGGCCCCCGACGAGATCTCCGCGTCGATCCTGCCTTTGCCATGCTGTCTCTCCTTTTTGTGGCGGTACATACCGACGTTGCTGCAACAATGGTCGTACAATACGATGGACCTGTGGAGTGGGTACGTTGACGAGACGAGAAAGGCGACGACGATGCAACGGGATAGACAAGTCGCAACTGCTTCGCTTTGTGTTGTTCGCCATTGTATCGACAAACAATGAAGGATCTGGGGCCCATGCAACGCGATTCGACTACAATACGGCGATACGATGAGAGAGAGAGCGAGGTTCGGTATGGCTATGGCACGTGTCGATCCCGTCGATCCCGTCGGTCCATGGTGGTGGTGGTCCGGGAAACGAGGCTGAGCAACCTCTGCTCACCCATCGGCCTACCTGTCGAGGAAACGGGAGGTATGGAAGGGAGACAATGTCGGTACCGGACGGGATAGTGTACGATCCTCGTCTTGTCTTGAGGCTTCCCCTCCATTGCGACGGGGATGGGGGTGGGAAGGGATGAGCACTGAGGTTGCTGTCAAAAGTACGCCCTACCGTCATCGACAGGATGCGTCTCTGAGACGATGCGTCCACTTGCACGATGCCCCATTGGATTCCATGCCGGAGCGGTCGCCGGGCCCGTAGCACGTCAACGTCAAAAAGGCCAGTCACGAGCTTGCAACCCGTACAGTATCGGCGCCTTGCGCAGGCCTGAGCCCGTCTCAGCCCACCTCGCCCGCTTCGGCCGTCGAACGCTAGTGCGGGAATCCAAGTGGCGCTTCGCCTTCTTCCCTCTTCGTACTTGCCGTTGCCGGAGCAACGAAGCGGCACGAGGAGGGTGGCAAGGCGTCGAAAGAGGCAAGGCTCCACCACGACGCCTGGGAAAGGGTAGACCTTTGGCTCAACCGCCTGTTTCAGAGGTGCGGAGGCGCCCGAAGCGGCTTGACGTCAGGAGGGTACAGAGGTACTGTATGGTACGGTACGGTGAGATACGGTGCGGTACGATACCGTGGCAGGGGCAAGGATAGACGGACGGACGGGGTCTAACCCTAAAGAGACGCCGCGGTGCGGAACGGTGCTGTGCGCAAGGGTCGCTGGCTGTCACACTCGTGGTGCTCGTCGGCGAGGAGCAAGACCCTGGAACCAACGAATGGACGGGCGGACGGGGCCGACAAGCCGACGAGCGGGTGATATGGCGCGGAGCAGCGAGCGACAGGTGTCAGGAAGACGATCATGGAGGGGCTCTGGAATGCTCGGCTAGAGAACCCGCGCTGGGATCGACACCGAACCGGCCTTTTTGGCGGGCCAGCTCAGCCCAGCCCAGGCCAGTTCAGTCCAGCCTTCGGCCCTCCAACGCCGTTGTGGCTTTTTGAGTTTCCGCTTTTTGACAGCTGTCCTCGCATGCCAGAGTGGTCTCGACAGTCGGACTCGGTCCCTCTGACGGATCGACGCGCCACGTCTCTCCCCGCTTCCCTCTCTCCTTCCCTCCTCGCGCTTCCTTGCCAACCTGCTCGCAAGTCCCTCCCGTTCGAGAGACAGCGACCTGGAATCGACGGTCCGACAGACGGACGGCCGCGCCACTGTCCTTCCTCTCTGTCCTTCCCCACTGTCCTCGACCTCGACCTCGTCCTCATGCATGCATGCGGACTCGACCCTGCCCAACTCTACCCGCGTCTCTCGCCAAACGAACCACGCCCTGCTTGCCGCTCGTTGCTTCTTAGCTTGTCGGCCCTCGCCGTGACAGAGTGACAGTGTGACAGCGACAGCGACAGCGTTCCACCTCGCCATCCCGCCACACCATCGCACCACAATTCGCTCGGTACCTCTCCGTCTCGCCCGCTTTCGATGCCTGTCACTTGTCTTCCATCGTCTGGTACGCTCACCCTTCCCCGCCTTTTCTCCTCTTCTCCGTTGCGATGTGATCCGATGCGATGCGATGCGATGCATGTACGCACGCTTGCATGCATGCGTCTAGAATCCCCCGTCCGACAGACATTGCCTCCCGGCGGCCCTCCTGGCGTCACGACTGCTCGTCGAGAAGGGGCGAAATGGCACCATAACCTTATTGGGCTTCTCCTGGCCTCCTGCTTCTCGACCTCGACCCCCGACCTCCGACCTCGACCTCGACCTCGGCCTCTAACTCAGAGCCCACCAGCTGCCTTTCCTACCCGTTCCGTCATCCACGACCATCTTCGTCGGCCTGTTCCATCGTCAGAGCCCTCGCTTGCGACCATCGCAAGAACCGGCTTCGCTTCGCTTCGCCTTCCCGCTCTGATCGGATCGACCTGGGCTGGTAACATGGCACACCTTCCTTTTCCGTCTCCGAACTCTTCATTGATCTCCTTCCATGCTCTGACGTGGGCCGCTAGACCGTCCCGCCATTCAAGCATTGTGTCTTCCCTCCCGGTCGATGTGTAGGTGCTCGTCGTCGCGACAAAGAGAGACGATGATGCCATCCCATCGTACTGCGCAACGGATGCGGTAACTGCTTCTGTTTGCCAGCCCCTTCGGCCCCCTCGTCACGGCATCGGACCTCGTAAACCCCCCTCACCCCATCAGCTGAACGGCGGGCTTGGTCACACGCAGCGCTCGGTCCCCTCTGTCCGAAGATGCAGCGCACGGTTGTGGGCTAGGTCGGTGCTGCTGCACGACGTACTGCCGCGCAGCCGCACAGTGTTACCCTCATCGACTGACAAGGACCCCTGTGGAACCCCACAGCGCGCCTTGCTTGACATCTCGCCCAATTGCCCGCCCCTCTGCTTCATAGCGCTCCGCTCCGCTGCTTGACAGGACAAACAGGGTATAAAGACGCCGCGTCCCAACCACCCTCCACCGTCTTCTTCTCCCCATCCTTCCATCAGTTCCTACCTTTCCACACCAGCTTCTTACCTTTCCCTTCTCACTGCATACCTGGCCCGGCGCTTCGTACATTCCAGCAACCCCCCCTCTTACCCCTACCACTTCCCCCAACTACCCCACGCCTAGTGCGAATACCCAAACCCCCCTTACCCCAACCCCTTTCCACCCTTGTCCCACCCTTCCCCCCTTTTTCACTTTCACGATGAAGTTTACCACTCTTCAGACCGCCGCCGTCGCTGCTGTCGCCGCCGCAGCCGTTGGCCAGGCTCGCCCTATCAACAACTCGGTCAACCAGGTCATCGCCGACGAGGGCGAGCACCACTTCGACTACGACGGCCACGGCCACGGCCACGGTTTCCACGAGGGCGAACACTACGAGCACGAGCACAAGAGCATCCCGCATGCGGCGGGCATCGACGCCGAGGGCAGTTTCAACAGCGCAGCGAGCGGAAACGATGGAGGAGCCAACGTTGCCGTGGCAGACAACATCCTCAACGGTGTCCTCTCTCGTCGAGGCGGACGTGGTCCCATCGACGCAGAGGGGTCCTTCAACTCGGCCGGCAGCAACAACGATGGCGGTCTGAACGTACCAGTGGCAAACAATATTCTCAACGGCGTTCTTTCACGTCGAGGAGGATTCGGCACCGACGCCGAGGGCAGCTTTAACAGCGCAGCCAGTGGGAACGACGGTGGAGCCAACATTGCAGTGCTCGACAACCTGCTCAACGGCGTTCTCTCACGCCGAGGAGGACGAGGCATCGACGCCGAGGGCAGCTTTAACAGCGCATCTAGTGGGAACGACGGCGGAGCCAACGTGGCCGCTCTCGACAACATCCTCAACGGCGTCCTGTCTCGCCGTGGCTTGGGCAGCGGTAGCTTCGAGGGCTCGGGCAACTCGGCAGCCGATGGTAACGATGGCGGAGCCAACGTTGCCGCTCTCGACAACATCCTCAACGGCGTCCTGTCTCGCCGTGGCTTGGGCAGTGGTAGCTTCGAGGGATCTGGCAACTCGGCCGCATCGGGCAATGATGGCGGCCTCAACGTCGCCGCCCTCGACAACATTCTCAACGGCGTCCTGTCTCGCCGCGGTGGTGGCAGCAGCTTCGAGGGATCGAGCAACTCGGCAGCCGATGGTAACGATGGCGGAGCCAACGTCGCCGCTCTCGACAACATTCTCAACGGCGTTTTGAGCCGTCGAGGCGGTGGTATCGACGCCGAGGGGTCTTACAACTCGGCCGCATCGGGCAATGATGGCGGAGCCAACGTCGCTGCCCTCGACAATATTCTCGACGGCGTTCTGAGCCGTCGAGGCGGAGGTATCGACGCCGAGGGGTCTTACAACTCGGCCGGTAGCAACAACGATGGCGGCTTGAACGTACCCGTGGCAAACAATATTCTCAACGGCGTGCTTTCGCGTCGAGGTGCCGGTGGCGAGGCCAACGGATACGGCGGCTCGGCGTGGCAGTGGCAGCAGAACCACCCGGTCGTCTCGGGTGGCGGCAATTCGGTGACGGCCGGCGGGCCGCAGGGCGCCGACGACAGCGGCCGGGGCGGCGACATCAGCGACAACGAGCGCCGCGGTGGTGGCGCGTACGGCGAGTCGAACGGCTATGGCGGCTCGTCGTGGCAGGGACAGGCCAACCACCCGGTCGTGAGCGGATGGGGCAATTCGGTCACCGCCGGTGGTCCCCAAGAGGCCGACAACAGCGGAAGCGGCGGCAGGATCGGCGACGACGAGGAGGGCGGACACGGTGGTCGTCCCTTCCGTCGTCGCGGCGGCTACGGCGGCGAGGCCATCGGCCAGGGCATCGAGCAGTTCGCCTCGGTCGATGCTGTCGGCGGCAAGTCGTTCCAGTATGGCATCAACGGTGACGCCATCGCCGACACGTCGGCCACGGCCGGCATCGCCAACCAGTACGCCTCCAACGACGCCGACCAGGGCCAGGCCGGCTACGGCTACCACAAGAGGTCCAACGCCAACCAGGCTGCCTCGGCCGATGCCTGGGGAGGCGACAGCTTCGACCTCCAGTACAACGTCGCCAACCCCATCAGCGGCGACGGCAAGAGCGTCACCATCGGTGGACCCCAGATCTCCAACAACGCGGCTCAGGGTGGCGCCATCGGACAGGAGGTCGGCGACGAGGAGGAGGCCCAGTACCAGCACGGTGGTTACCACTAAAACTTGGGTGGCTCCGCCCTCCTGGCTTTCTGCATGGACCTTCTCCCTCGTCCCCCCGTCTCCGACCCGATCCGGCACTGTTCTTCTGTTGTTGGCCGTACTCAGCCGGCCGATCCCACTCCCTTCGCACCTTCTCCTTCTCACCAAGACGCTCGTTGACGTCGACTCACGACCTTAGACCCATGGAGCTTCCAATCTTATTTTCTATGAAGGATCATGACGAGGATCGGGGATGTCTGGTCTTGCCTGTGCGGTGGCTCCGGTGGAGATGTCGCGGGAACATCGCTGAGTGCGGGGGTCGTAGCCAAGCGCCTGATCGACGATGGGATGATGATCGGATAAGGACTTTGGAGGGGTCAGAAAGGAGGAAGAAGGAGGTTCGAGTAGAGGGAGGATGGTGATGGATGGTGGCGATGTTGTTCGTCTGAGGTCGGGTTCTTATACCGTTAAGTCAGAAACGCTGGCTCTCCAAGCTGTCATCATATTGGGGCTAGGCAGCAGCTCTTCCTCAGCTCGACGTCCCCAGCCCCTCTGCCGGGCTGTACTCGCTTTGAGTCCTCAGCATTTGCAACAGGGGGCGGATCATGACACGGGACGCCCCATCGGCAGACAGGAGCAGCGGACTTCCGTGGTCAGCCCTTCGTGCGGATTCCTGTTGTCATCGAATAGGTCAAAGAGCAACCAAAGTGTGCATCTTCCCACGCCACCGCTCGAGCCCCGCCTTGACGTGCTCGAGCCCATGGACTCGATTGATGAGTGGGCCGACAGGGGCGATCCTTGACGGAATGTCTGGAACATCTGGAACGTCGTGGCGCTCCTTCTGCGGCTAGACCACCTCGTTGGCTGGCAAATTACCCCGGCTTTGCCTCGTAAAGCTGCCACCCTGCACCGATCAAGTGATGGCGGGATTGTAGGAAAACGCAGGTCGAAAAGCTCAACCTCTGCAGCAGGGGCCCGGATTACAGCAGCAGCAGCTGCCTTTGGGGTTCACCCCAGCAGGCCGCCCGGAGAGCGGTTCCTTCCTCGCTCGATTTGTGTCGAGACGCACCACCTGGCGATGCGTGTGGGATGACAAGGCGAAAGTCAGACTGGCAAGTCCGACGGGCAAGCCTCGCCGCGTCACCATCCCGAGACCAAGGCATCGGCATCGAGCACTATTAGTCCGAGGTCGAGACGTCCCGTTCGGGCCTGCTGTGTCCAGGCAGCCAAAGAGCGAGGAACATGCGCAGGTCTGCCCCTATACTGTGAGAAGAGGCTCGAGCGCGCGTGGATGCGGCCGGGGCCAACGATGCGGCAGGAGCAACGATCGATACGGCCCGCAACGATGCTCTCTTCGATCCCAGTGCGCAGGTCAAGACAAAGTAAACCACCACGATCGAGGTCGGCTCAATGAGAGCCAGCGAGCATCGAATCGCGGTTCTCGTTGTCCAGGCGAAGCTCCTCTTCGCCTGGACAGAAAACGTCAATTCAAGCAGCTGATGAACAAGGCTGAACCGCTGACATCGACACGTGTGACTCGACTTGGGCAGGCCTGGAGCCGTCCAGCGCCAAACATCCTGTGAAGTTCGCATAGACGCCGTGCACCTGGACACCATCAACGCGGTCACCACTTGGAGGATAGCGTCGGCGAGAGATGATCTAGAGGCGACACTCGTAGGCAGCGACAGACCCCGGAAAAGAGCGCCGCAACCTTAGCACGTCGATGAGCGCCGAGAGGAGCGCCTTCCCAGCCCGAGCATGTTTCGATCTGCGACGCTCGTCACTCAGGGCGCAACTCTGTCGGCGGAGAGGCGGTGCCGCAAGATAACAGCAGACCGGCTGCCGGTGCATGGGCGGGCGATAAAGAGCTCTGCTGTGACTAGATACGGATGGACAGGCTCGTCAGCCTGCCGATGACCGGCCGTGACGTCGTGGGCGGGCTCCTTTCCGAAAGATGTCACGGCTGAGTTCTCTTTGATGAAGGGAGCTCGTCCAGCAAGGCAATTGCCTGCTCTCCTATTGCTCTGTGTCCACACGATGCTCGCAAAGGTGCTTCCAAGCCTGCTTGTGCGCAAGCGTCCAAGGAGTGGGGCGAGCGTAGGCCGAGGAGCGAGAGGCCGCTGTCAGCTTGTACCGCGGCCGCTAGGGGGTTGCGAGCTCTGCTTATGTCAGCAGCCGAATATTCCGAGAGCCGAGGTTTGGCGCGAAGGTGGCCCCAATTTTTTTGCTCGGCTGGCGCGGGTGGGCCCCAGGTAGGCAGGAGGGTGCTCTCGTTCGCCTGCCCCACCACTGCTTGCCACCACCCCTTAGCTTCTTGTCCTCACCATCATCATCGTAGCAGCACCTCGGGCGTCTTCATCCCATCGTCTCGCGTTTCACCCGACCGCCCTAGTTTTGCGCCTGCAGCCTCGAAATGGACATCTTCCGCACCCTCTCGACCGGAGGCGCACGCTTCGACCGCAGCCGCTTCAGCAACGACGTCCGCCTCTTTAACCCAGCATCCAACCCGGCAGACCCATCCTCGTCCGGGGGCTCCTCGCACAGGTCTGCGAAGAAGGCAAAGACCTCAGCATCGTCCTCCAACCCAACCCAAGTCGTCGTACCGGACTCGCTCGACTTTTTCGGTAGCGCGGCAAAAAGCCAGTCGACTACATCGGCGCAGCAGAAGCGCAACGCGGCCAGCAGCGACAACGATGATGGCAGCGATGACGACAGCGACGCCTCCGACATCTCCGACGACCGCGGCGACGACGAGGGTAGGCCACGCAGCAGCAAGCGGAGAAAGGCAGGAAGCCGCGACGACGACGACGACGACGACGAGGCGCCCCTGACGAAAGCGACGCTGCCCGCCTACCTGAAGCGCTACAAGATCAAGCTCACCGGCACCGACGTCCCGCTACCCTTGGCATCGTGGCGCGAGCTCGAAGGCCGCTTCTCGGTCGAGCCATGGCTGCGCACCAACCTGCAAAAGTGGGGCTGGTCCAGGCCCACCGCTATCCAGCGGGGCGCCATGGCCGTCATGCTCGAGGACCGCGACCTGCTGGCGGGCGCTCCGACGGGCTCCGGCAAGACGCTCGCCTTCCTGCTGCCCCTCCTCCACCACCTCCGCGCCCCCGCAAAGGACGGCTTCCGTGCCGTCATTGTCTCGCCCACCCGCGAGCTGGCGCAGCAGATCTACGAGCAGCTCCGCCGCCTCTCCGAGGGGCGCAACTTCAAGTTCTGCGTCCTGACAAAGGCCACCGAGGCCACAATCAAGCAGGACCCCAAGCTGCGGAAGAAGTTTGACGTCCTCATCACGACGCCCATGCGGCTGGTGCACGCCATCGAGCAGGAGGAGGTCGACCTGTCCAATGTGCGCCACCTCGTGCTCGATGAGGCCGACCGCCTGCTCGAGCAGGGCTTCCTCGAGCAGACCGACGCCATCCTTGCAGCGTGCTCCCACCCGCGCCTGCGCAAGGCGCTCTTCTCGGCCACGCTGCCCGCCGGCGTCGAGGAGATGGCCAAAACGTTCATGGTCGACGAGTGCCGCGTCATTGTGGGCCAAAAGGACGGCGCCACCGAGACCATCTCGCAGGAGCTCGTCTTTGTCGGTTCCGAGGAGGGCAAGCTGCACGCGATGCGCTCGCTGATCCAGGAGGGCGGTATGAAGCCGCCGGTGCTCCTCTTTGTCCAGTCAATCCAGCGCGCAAAGGAGCTCTTCCACGAGCTCGTCTACGACGGCCTCCACGTCGACGTCATTCACTCGGAGCGGCCCCAGGCGCAGCGCGAAGGCGTTATCCGCGCCTTCAAGCGGGGCGACGTGTGGGTGCTCATCTGTACCGAGCTCATGGCGCGCGGCATCGACTTCAAGGGCGTCCAGCTCGTCATCAACTACGATTTCCCGCAGACGGTCCAGAGCTACATCCACCGGATCGGCAGGACGGGCCGTGCAGGCAGAAAGGGCCGCGCCATCACCTACTTTACCAAGGACGACGCGCCGTATCTCAAGACGTGAGTCGGCCGCCCATGTGGGCCTTAGCCGCGCTCGCTCGCTCGCTCGCCCATGGCCCTGACTGACGACGATCTCATCTCCCTTTTCCTCCACTGTGTGTCACAGCGTGGTCAACGTGATGCGCCAGTCTGGGTGCGAGGTGCCGCAGTGGCTGGTGGAGCTGCCCAACCCCAACAAGTCGATCAAGAAAAAGATCAAGCAAAAGGCGCCGCAGCGCAAGGACGTGCGCGCCGCCGCGGGCACGAGCCAGCAGGGCCGACGGCTGGCCAAGAACCGAAAGGAGATGATCGAGGCGAGCAAGAAGCGGAAGCTCAAGGCGCAAAAGCAGCAGCAGCAGCAGTCGTCGTCGGCGGCGGCGGCAGCGGCCAAGGAGGGCAAAGGCGGTGCTGCGGCTGCACAAGAGGCGGCATGAGCGAGAGACGGAGTAGCCAGGCAGGCTGTGTTGGAGCTGGCAGGATCGCTATGGCCCCTCGCCGCGCCGCGCCGCGCCGCGCCGGCAATGCACCCACCACCCGCTTCACACGAGACCAGCTGTATTTCACCGATTGATTGCGTCCGGACCGCTCGTCTGCCTGCGATCGGCAGTGGCCTTCCGAACCCTCGGTGCTGCCAGACTATCTCTCATCATTGCCTTTCGGGTCGATACCGGTAGCGGCGGCATAGTTCCACGCGCCCTGCTTCTGTTGACGTGCCACGCCCACGATAGGAGGAATGGCCTGCGTTGCATACCCGGACTCAAAGAGCCGTGCGTCTGTGCGTCTGTGCGCGGGTGTGTGCAAGCCAGGCAGGCGTCGTTGACCCGTCGGGATCATGATGCCGGTCTGCGGTGGGACCACGTACGTCGATCTGCATCTCACCCTCTCGTCATCCGCCCGCCTGGGCCTGCTCGATGAGGTGGCACCTCGAGGACCCCCGGGGTCGGCCTCGACGCTTCCGCGGCTGAACGGACGGACGGCGGTCGGGCCGAAAGCCGAAATCAAGCAAGGTCGTACACAGCCGTTCATCCGCGGCCCGCCCAAGCTGGGCCCGCGGTCGGAGTTCGGCTGACCTGCCTGCCTGCCTGCCTGCACCTAACCTGCCTGCCTGCAGCTGCTGCTTGAGCCTCTGCAGCGGGACTTCTTCCGATGGAACTCGCCTCTAGAGAAGCGCGGCGAGCGAGCGAGCCAAAAGCAGCAGCAGCAGCAGCCGCTTGCTCGCTCGTTGGCCGGGGCCGTGGCCGGAAAACACCATACATCGACCGACCGACGTTCTGGACCTCTGCCGAGTCACCCTTCCGCCTGCCTGCCTGCCTGCCTCCTTGCTTGCCTTGCTTGCACATACCCAGCGCTGCAACACCTCGTTGATCACCTGCAGAGCGCATCCATCCATCCTACCTCGCTCCTGCGCTGGACTGAGCGCGATTGCGATCACAACGGCGCCTTCCTGCCAGGTCTAGTCCGACGGATCGAATGCCAGAAGAAGCTGGAGGGGGATCGAGCCTTGGAGAAGACGCTGCCAAGGAAGCAGGCAGCCAGGCTGCCAGAAAGACGGGCGGCCCGGAGTACATACGTGGCCTCAACCTGCTGGCCTGCTCGCTGATTGGACAGACCACCGGGCTGGGCAGGGCGGGGCTGGGCGCAGCAGCTGTTGTGGTACGGGCACGGTGCTGTACCGCTACGCTTCCGCTGCGCCGCGACCTTTGCTTCGCTTCCGGCTTGCTCTGTGTACCGCGCCTATTTCCGCGTCTCGAACCAGGCCTGCCTGCTGGCCTCTGCTTTCAATTGGCCCGTCCCTGCCTGGCTTGCCTGCCTTCTCATCGTCAAATGACCGGCAGCCGCGTGGATCTGCGCGGCAGCCAAAGAAGGCCAGGCTGGGCAGAAGGGGGACAGACAGGCCTGGCCTGCCCGCTCGTCGATGCCATCCGTCGAAGCGAGTCCGGAGCGAGCCGCCAGGTGGTGGGGGAGCTACAGTAAGCGGCTCGGCTGGGCCAGGCTGGGGCTAAGCTGGGCCGGCAGGGGGCCACGGAGCAGGCTGAGGCCAGGCAGGGTGCGACGACCAGAGACAGGCTAGGATAGGGCGACCGCAGGCGGGCGGACGGACGGAAAATCCGAAACAGCGCAGCAGCAGAGAGACACGAGAGGCTCGCAGCGAGCGAGCGAGCGAGCGAAGCAGACGGGCGGGGGAGAGAAAAAAAAAAATTGGGGCCAGGCAGACAGGCAGGCAAGTCGGTCGGTCGGTCGGCGGGTCGGTCGGTCGGTTGGCAGCGGGGCTCAGCGCGCCTCTCTGCCTGTGCCTTTCTTTCTCTTGGCCCCCGCGCGCCTGGCAGGCTTGGCTCGACCATCCTCTGCCTGCCTGCCTTCCCTCTGCTTCGTTTCTCTTCCACCTCGACGGCCCTGCTCGCCCTGCTCGCCCTGCTCGACTCCTCGCTCTCCGGGCGATCCAGCTGCGATCGACGCCATCTTCTCCTCCTGCCACCACAGCACCATCACCATCGCCATCGGCACCGGCACTCTCGCGACCACCGACTGCGGTCGCCTTGGCCACCTGCCAGCACACACTGTCCCGGCACCTCGACGCTACAAAGCCAGCTCAGCTCGCCTCGACTCGCCTCGCCCTGCCCTGCGCTCCTCCTCACCCTTCTCCTTCTCCCCTCGTTTCGCCTCGACGGCGCTTGTGCGAGCGCATACCGCGCGCTAGCAGTCAGCCAAACGCGGTCGAGGCACGCGAGCACCAGCGCCAAAGCAGGGTCCAGACCCAGCAATCGACGGCTTCGACGGAGCGCCTCGCTGCAGTGCTGACCGCTCCGCCGGCGACCACTTCCGAGCGAGGCCCATCTTCGACCCCGCATCGCGCCTTATCGAGTCGTCCACCCTTCTGGATCTCGCCGACCCGATCCGGCCCGACCTAACCGACCGGCTGGGTTCTTGGGATTCCTCCAGATCGATTTGCCGATCGCTACCACTCTCACTATCCGCCGCGGCTTCGTCAACCTTCCTCGGCCCCACACAGCAAGGCGATAGGATACGCCTCTGCCCACAACGCTTTCACCTTTTCCCACACGACCATCGTCCGGCCTTCTGCCCTCGGTTCTTGCCCACATCGCTCTTTGTCTGATCGAAGCTGACCCGTCAGCTGGCCATGCTGTTGGGCTCGCGAAGCCTTTCACGAACACAGCAACAGCCACCACCACCACCACCACCACCTTCATTGACCAACCCCTGGCCGTGAGATCTGCCTTGTCCATCACCTCTCACCCTTCCGACGCTGCCCCTCGGCATTCGCTCATTCTCTATCAAACAGGATTCGCTCCGCTACCCTGACGGCCATCACCGCCAACCGGCACCCAAGGCGGCGCCCAACCTCGCACACCTGCGTCACCATCATCTGAGCCTGCTCGACTTCACGTCTAGCCAGAAATCCGGCAAGAGTCGTGCACGCTGCCCTATTCTCCTTTTCCGTTTCGGTCAACAACCTCCTCCGCTCTTCGACGACTCTGAACCAATCAGCCTGTCGACCCGCCTTGCTTTGCTTTGCCTTGCTTTGCCTCGTTTCGTCCGTCGACCTCGACCTGGACGCTACCCGATCAGACCGACCAAGCGCTCGCCTCGACACAACCCGTCGACTCGCCCTGAGTTTGACCAGTGGCCCCGAGTCACAGTCGACGTGACCGGGCGCCTCTGCTGGCATCGCTCGTCTGGCTCTATCTATACCCCCACCCAGGTGCCCATCGCCGCCGTGGAAACATGACGGAAGTGTCCGGCTCGCCTCTGCTCAGCGTGGATCGGCCGCGGTCCACGCGGTCCAGCATCTCGAGCGATGCGGCCCGGCGCAAGATGAGTGCGCGGCCAAGACAGCCCCCTCTGGATCCGACAGCCTGGTCGTCCTGGCTTCACTCTTACCAGCGCGGACTCTGGACCGACAGCTCCGGCGTCGATAGCGATACCGAGGCACCCTGCTCGCCTCTCGGCGACGCGGGAGCCTCGACCTCGTCCTGCACTTCTGTCAGCGGCAGCACCGATGACCGGCCAAAGATGTGCCCGCTCCAGGACCAGATGGTCCGATCCCACAACGGCAATATGCTCGACTCGTTCGGTGAGTGAACCATGCCGTGCACAAGAACGCAGACCGCCGGTCCCGCGTCACGGACTTCGTTGCAGGCCCGTCGTATCGATCTTTGCGTCCCTTGGAGCGACGGCGCTGACACAGGATCTGATCTCGCGCCTTTCTCCCGGCTCGATTGCTGCTGTTGCCCCGGCAGAGTTCTTCAAGCGGAATGGCTGGCTCGCTCCGCCGCAGCTGCCGCGCAAGCACCGGCACAAGTGCGGCCTGGCGCTGCGGCGGCACCACGTCACTGGCCCGCACGAGCGCGAGGCGCTCAACCTCTACGTCAAGCACACCATGGCCGTCTTCAAGGTCGACTACGCCTCATTCATGATTGCCAGTACAAACGAGTCGGATATGCTCATCCTCGCGCAGGAGGGTGGCAAGGCCGACGTGCAGCGCATCGACCGCGCCACGACCCTCTGCGCCCACGCCATGCTGCTGTCCGAGGACGAGGTGCTGGTCGTCGCCGACACCAGCAAGGACTGGCGCTTCTCGGCCTGCCCCGCGACCAACGCTGGCACGCCCTGCAGCAAGCTGGGCCACTCGCTCCGCTTCTACGCATCGGCGCCCCTCTACCTCTCCTACTCGTACGACGGCGTCGAGGGCATGGTCCAGGCCGGACGGCTGTGCATCATGGCCAGGGAGCCGCGCCAATTCAGCGAGGCAGATGCCGACCTGCTGCTGTCCATTTCTCGGATGGCGAGCGACGCCATGGAAAAGGAGCACCAGATCCGGCGCAATGCAAAGACGGCAGACATGCAGCGGAGGTCGGCCAAGCTGGTGCGCGCCATCGAGACGGTCAAGTCGTCATCGGTGTCGCGAAGTCCGGCCTCGACCGACGCCGGCGGTGGCGACGACGACGCAGCCGCCTCATCAAGCGCCGAGTCGTCCGGGGCCGAGGGCATGCTGCGCTACTCGACGTCGGTCATCGACATCGCGTGCGACGAGCTGCGTGGGGCCCTCGGTGCCGTCGCGGTCGCCGCCATCGACATTTCCGGCCTGCGGATCAAGCCGGCCGCGCAGGGCAGCGTGTCGCCGAGGACGTCGGCCTACCCTATGACGCCATGGCAGGTGCCCGACACGCGGCTGCTCGCGGCGCCGCTGACGCCGCCCTCGGAGCTCGGCGGCGCGACGACGGCTATCCTCGATGCCGTCGCAGGCCCCTCGACCTCTCCGACGATGCGGCGGCATCCCATGCACCGCACGCGGAGCTCGGGCGTCGACGAGGTCGAGCCGATGGTCAACGGCCCGCCAGTCCAGCTTCTCTGCCTAGGCGGCGACGCCAAGTACCGACCCGTGGTCAAGGGCCCCGCCCAGCTCCAGGCGCTGTGCGACTGGCTGGGCCGCCGCGTCCGCAACGACCGCCTCGAGAGCCGCGTCAAGGTCTACCGCACGCCACACGACACGACCCAGTCGGACGAGGACAGCGAGCCGCTCGACGCGCCGCCGCCGAGTTCATCGAATCCGCTCTCACCGCTGCTGCCGGGCGAGGTGCCGGTGCGCGAGTATGCCGTGGCTGCTGCCTATGACGTGCAGCAGGCGAGGCCGCTGCTCTGCTTCCTCGTTATGTTCTCCGACGACGCCGCCCTCGAGGAGCCCGAACAGCTGTTTATGGAGAGCTGCGTCGAGTACGCCGTCAGCAGCATCATCCGCCAAAAGGCGCGCGACATTGACGGCATCCAGGCCGAGTTCCTCCGCCACGTGCAGCACAACCTGCGCACCCCGCTGCACGGCGCCCTCGGCGCCGTCGAGTACCTGCGCAGCTTCATCATTGCGGGCGACATTACCGAGGAGGAAGCGGCGCCCTCGATCGACCTGCGGCCCGACGGCGTGCTGGCGACGCTGCTCGACTCGATCTCGCTCAGCGGCACCACGCTCAACACGTACATCGACGATCTGCTCAGCTTCCAGAACTTGGCGGGCCTCACTGACGGCTCGCGCCGCCTGGCTAAGCCGGTCTCGACCGACATTGTCAAGCTGGTCGAGACCGTCTGCAACGAGGAGTGGGAGCTGGCGCAGCGGCTCGAGATGCAGTCGCAGCGGCTCGAGGTCGGCTCCGGCGGTTCCAACACCTCGCTGCAGCTCATCATCAAGGCCGACGACCGCGTCGCGGCCCACGAATGGATGGTCGACGCCAAGGCGCTCAGCCACGCCGTCCGCAAGGTGGCCTCTAACGCCATCAAGTTCTCGCACCACGGCTACGTCGAGGTCTGCCTCCGCGCCGGCCGCCACGCGCCCGATGCCGAGACCGGCGAGGTGCCCGTCGAGATCGAGGTGCGCGACACGGGCATCGGCATGACGCGCGAGTTCTGCACCGAGCACCTCACCAAGCCCTTCACCAAGGGCGACTCGTTCCGCGACGGCATCGGCCTCGGCATGACGATCGTGTCATCGACGGTGCAAAACATGGGCGGCAAGCTGTCGGTCGCCTCGGAGGTCAACGTCGGCACCCGGGTCACCATGACGCTGCCCTTGGCCGTCGGCAACCCGAGGGCGGGCAACGGCGGCGTGGCTGACGGCGGCGCAGCCACGTCTCCGCAGCCGTTCGCCGTCAAGCGCATCGCCTTCTTTGGCATGGAGACGCGCGGCCTGCGTCGGCTGAGCAACAGCATCTGCGAGTACCTGATGCCCAACGGCGACCTGCAGCTGGTCTCGGACCCGCTCGAGGCCGACTGCATCATCCTGCCGGACTGCGCCATCTCGCGCCTGGTCGAGGGCGACTCGCCGCTGCGCGACCGGCTGCGGCCCGACGCGCGCTTCGTCGTCGTCCAGCTCTCGCTCCGTGTGCGGCCCGAGGGCATCGTCGCCTTCCAGGACCGCGCGGTGCTGCCGTTCCTGTCGCCGCACGGCCCCTCGGCGCTTGACCTGCTGGTGCGCTTCCTGCGCGAGGAGCACCCGGGCATGATCCGCGACGCCGCCCATCGCCCGCTCCACGCCTACTACCATCCGCGCTCCGCTTCGGTCGACGGGCCAAGCGACGCTACGCGTGTCAACGGCTCGGACGCCTCGGCCGTGTCTGACGCCGACTCGGCGTCCACGGTGGTCGCAGTCGAGGCGTCACTCAAGGGCGCCGTCGAGCCGTCGACGGACCCAGACGCAGCGCCTGCGGGCGACGATGGCGAGGCCCACGTGGCCGCTGTCCAGTCGGAACCTTCGTCAGCGCCACCGGAGCAGCCCACGCCCATCGACGAGGGCAGGGTCGAGGGCGGCGGCCACGACAGCGGCGACGAATTCCGCGTACTGGTGGTCGAGGACAACCCGATCAACATGAAGCTGATCGTGACGCTGCTCAAGCGGCTGCAGATCCGGTACGAAGAGGCGCACGACGGCGCCGAGGCGGTGCTCAAGTTTATCTCGTTCCGCCCCGCCGTGGTGCTGCTCGACATTTCGCTTCCGATACAGGACGGCTTCGAGGCGTGCACCCAGATGCGCGCCCACAACCACCCGTCGCACATTGTGGCCATCACGGCGCTCAGCTCCGACGACGACCGGCAGCGCGGCATCGAGACGTGCGGCATGGACGCGTGGATGACCAAACCCGTGTCGCCGCGGCTGCTGCGCCAGGACATCATTGCCTGGCAGCAGGCGTGGCTCGACAAGGCCATCGCTGTCGCTGACCCGGCGTCGCGGCCGGCCGAGCCCGAGCCCGTGGCGGCCTAGGTCTAGGAGCGAGTCGCGCCTGTGACGGGTCGACCCTCGCCCCTGACATCTCTTGGTCGACGCCTCGGCGGCTGCCTGCTCGCTCTCTTTGGTTCTCATCCTCTCTTTCTTCTTTCGCTTCACTATCTGCGACATCTTTGGGCTTTCACTTTTGCCCCCCGTCTTGTACCGACGGGGCTTTCCCTCCTCTCTCTCTCTCTCTCT